GGCTTTAGTTAAGATAGTAATTAAAATAATTATTACTTCGATAAATATTTCTTATCTTATTCTTTTTAAGACTCTCTTTTTTAAAATTAATATTAAAGAGATAATTAATAGCTTATATATAGTCTTTTATAATATATCTATATAACGCTTATTTCTATTCTTAAATAGATTTTAATTATTAATCTCTCTTTTCTTAGCGAGATTAAGCTTAAATAAAATAAATTTAAAAGAAATATTATTAATTTAAATTATATTTAAATAAATCTAAATTTTATTATTTAATATTAATATATAATAAAATTAATTAGCTTTATAATTAATTAAGCGTCTCTTATAGACGTAATTTTTATATTTAATTTAATTAATATTTAATAAATATATTTAATAAAAACTAGTTTATTTAATAATTCGAAGATATAAAATATTAGATAAATAGTTTATAAAGATCTTATAAAAAATAATATCTCTTTTTAATATTAATTATAAATTATATAGATAATTAGAAATTTATATAAATTTCGATTAATACTTTTATAATAGCTTACTCTCTTTAAATATAGCGTTAATCTTATATTATATTATTTAATTAAGATATTTAAATTTATTATTTATTTAAAAGTTATTAGATATAATATCTTTCTAAATAATTTCTTTAATAAATTAAAAAGTATATATATTATAATTATTATACTCGAAATTATAATTATTATAAAATCTAATATAAACGTAGTTTTTATACTTAACTTAATTTAGAAAAAATTTAAACGCTATAAAAATTATAAAATCGTTTTTATTAGAAAATAAGAATATAGTAAAATAAAGCGTTTTATCGTTTAGAAAGATTATTATTTATTTATAATTATTATAAGAAATAAAGAAAGACTTTTAAAGATTATTATAAATTAGATTATTCTTCTAGCGATCTAGCGTTATATAACGCTTATATAATTTAATTTTTATATTAATAATACTATATAATTTATATATATTCTTAAAGAGTAAAATAAATAAGTTTATTTTAATATATATTTTAACTAATTTCTTTAAATTTTAATACTTTAAATAGTTATAATAAGCGTATTATATATGTAAGATTTTTTTATTAATTTAAGAATCTAGAGTATTAGCGAATAAGAATAAGAATTTAAATTTAGATATAGATATAAATATAATAAACTTATTATAAATAGAAATATTTTTATTAATAACTACTAAGTATATAAAAGTCTTTATTTATATATTTAGCGTATAAAAATAATTACGCTAGCGTCTAAAAATAATATTATACTTCTTTATTTTAATATTTTTAAATATAAGTTAAAGTAAATAATTTTAATCTTTAAATTACTTTTAAAAAATTAGATTAAAATTACTATTAGAGATATATTAGATATCTTTTATATATAAAATTCGTTTATTTTTAAGATTCTTATATTTAAGCTTAATACGCTTAAAATTAATAGTTAGAACTAAGCTATTAACTCTATTAATTAAATAATATAATTTAAATAAAATAAAGATTTAAAAGATTAAGAAGTTATAAATAATATACTAAGTATAGATATTATTAATAAATTATAGATATAATAATATAATAATTATAAATATCGAAGAAGTTTAAGTTATAGTCTTTAAACCCTTTTTAATAAAGAAATAATAGACTTAATTTTATAAGAATTAAGAATTAGCGATAAGATATATAATATTCTTTAAATTAGAGTTAATATATATTATAAAACTATATATTATTATTAATTAAGTATATATAATAATCTTAATATTATTAAATTAATAATTAATAATAAATTTATTATTTTAGATAATTTTATCTTTATTATTTAAGTTAGTAAAATTATTATTATTATTATCTTTATCGCTATCTTTATTACTATAACTATCGCGGTCTTTATAATTATTATAATCTCCCCTATTACTATTACTATTTTATTTCTTAAATTTAAAATATAAAATAATATATTTGATATTATTATATTAGTTCTTTTTATAATAATTATAATATTTATAAATTTAAATATAAATATAAGAGTTATTAATATAAATCTCTTATTAAATTTTATACTCGATCGCTCTATCGATAATAATTAATATAATAATACTTTATAAATTATATATAAAGAATTTATTAATTAGCGTAGTTAATATATAAACTTTAATATTAATTAAATTAATAAGATTAATTATAATATTAATAAATCGAGTAATCGCGTAATTTAAATCGAACTTTATAATATTATTATTCTTAAAAATATTATAATTTTAATTATATTATTTATAATATAAATTATATAAAAAATCTAAATCTAAATAAAAGTAATAAATCTTTTAATTTTTATTAAACTTTAACTTTAAAAATAAGTTATTAAACTTATCTAGAATCTTTATAAATCTATTAATATAGAATTAGAGATTATTATTATATCTTATAAAAATAACGTTATTTATTTTTCTAAATATAAAATTAAGAATATTCGAGTTTTAGAGCTTAAACTTATTTAAAGTCTTTTAGGCTTCTTTAATATTAATCTTATTCTTAATTTTAAAATATAGATTTTTTTTATAGCGCGATTTTAATATAATATAGATTTAATCTTATATTTATAATTAGCTATCGATTTAGACTTTAATAATAATAATACTAACGATTAACTTTATATAATCTTTTTTAATATAACGCTATAATCTAAATAACTTTAATTTATTCTTAAATTATTACTTTTAGATTTAATAATTAAAGATATTTTTAAACTTATTAATATTATCGAGGCGGCTTAAAGAGATTAAAATTTTAGATTTCTTAAAAGATATAGTACTTAGAGGCTTAATAAGCTCTTTTTATTAGAGAATAAGCTAGATAAGCTCGCTTTATTAAAACTTAAATTTAAAAATAAAGTTTATATATTAATAGAACTTAGAGAAGTAATTAAGATAAACGATATTAGTAAAATTAAGCGCGCTTAAAAATTAAAGAGATTTTTATTAAATATCGATTTCGATAGAGACTTAGAGATAAATTATATTAATATCGAGTTAAAATTAATAAAAGAGCTTAATATATACTTACTCTCGCTATTAAAATATTTCTTATAATACGCTAGAGATTTAAATATATAAGAAAAGTTTCGCTAAGTTTTAAGATTAGCTCGATATAGCTTAGATCTTTATTTATGAAGATTTATTATTTATTAATACTCGAAATAGCGAATAATATTCTATCGAGAAGTTAAATAATTAATAAATATTAAAGATATTAAAATAATTTAAAAATATTATAATAATAAAAATTTATCTCTTATATATAGATATAATATTATATTATTAAGATTATATTAGCTATTTTAATAATTAAAAACTTTATTTATCTTCTCTAAAATTAACTTAATTAAAATTCGAGATCGAGATTAATTATAAGATTATTTACTTACTATTAAGATATTTTATCTCTAAAATAAGTACTTACGCCGAGGCTTCTTTATAATAATAGGGGTTTCTTTCTCCTTTCGCTTTTAAAATTAAAATTCTTATTTTTTTAATTAATATATCTCTATTAGCGATAATTAGAAACTACGTAATTAACGTCGAAGCTAAAGTTATTTTTTTTTAAATTATATTTCTTTTAGCGATAGCTAAAATAATTAATTTTTAATCTTTATTATAAATATTTTGTAATTAAATAAATATAAAATCTAGATACTCGCTATCTAATTCTTTAATATTTATAATATATAAATAAAGGCGTATTATTTCTTTATTTAGCGTATTTTATATAGAAAAGCTAATAATATTTTAGAGATCTTAGCGATAATATAATTTAATTAATTATATAGCAATTTCGATAATCTCGATTAGATATAATATATCTTAGCTCGCTTTATATTATCTTAAATAAAAAATAAAAGCGCTTAAGTAATAGCCTTTAACTCTTAAATTATAAGCGAATTATAGCTATTTAAATCTAAAATAACTATTTTAAAGTAAGAATTTCCTATATTAAGAAGATTAATAAAGTCTTTTATAGTTATAATTATCTCTATTATAATAAATATAAATATCTAAAGATAATCGTAGCTATAGCGATAGATTATACTATTATTAAAATAATTATTAAATATAATTTAGACTTATAATCTATTAAAATATAAAGATAAAATACTTAATTATATTATAAACCAGAAACACCGGCGACCATGGCGCATTGCGAACACACCGCTCCCGCCGACCAGACCCTGCCTTCGACCGCCAGCAGCTCTACGACCTCAGTCGTCAAGCCTCAGCCCAAGAGTGGCTGCATCGCCTGCCCATGCCCTGATGGGTGGTGTGATGTCTGCTGTTGCACCATCATGTGAAAAGGACATGTGCTTGGATCAGGTCGTTAGGGAAGTCGAGGTGAGGAGGATAGGATGCCATGTGCTGTGCTAGAAGGATATGTGTAAACGATGTTGATGTCCTGTTTGTGGGAATTTGAAAAGGTGAAGAAGGGTTGGCTCAATCAAGGGCCTGAGAATCTGTTAGCGCCCTTGTATCACCCTCGGCGGCTAATTTTGCTCGACTTCCATCAAACATCTAAGCATCGCTGCAAGTATCTTACATCAATTTGGTCATACTGTCTACATCTTAAGAGCGCTTTCTCCGCCTTTCTTACGGAGTATCCTGCGTGCACGTTGCTATTTATAGTCCTCAAACGCAGCACAGTCTTGGTGCAACCCTCTCGCAAAATTGGCGCTTAGCTGCATGAACCATGTTAGAGATGTGACCTATGTTGGCAAATATTTCTGCTATCGTATTTCTATTCGCCACCATGATGGACCCACCATGCTGGGTCTGCCACAGCCCCACGACAAGGTTGCCAATCCCAAACTGCCAGTCTCGCTCGTTTTTCCAATAGCGAAACTTTCTACACACTTTACCTCGTAGCGTTGACTTGCTAAAACTATGCTGTTTTATATTTCCTTGGAGAACGCTAAGGAGATAGCAAAGATGTAATGGTATGGGATCAGATGATGTTAAGCTCAAAATATACACCAAGCGCAGCGCTCTTCCTTCTGCTTCGACTTGACCCCTGCAGTAGCCTCGCAATCGAGCGCAGCATCAATCTCCCAGCATCTCAACCCAATAGCACTCAGACAAGCCCGAACCATTGTGGCTTCACAGGCAACTCGGACCTCTACGGCATCGGTATACGCCTGGGCTACTACACGCAAGCCTTATCCGTCTGGTTCGCGAACTACTTCGTCCTGAGCGAAGCCAAGGTGCTGCGGTCCGTCAACCTACTTTTCCTCGTGGCCCTCTTCATCGCGCTGGCGTGGCTGTCGCATCAAGCCCAACAGACCTACGCGATCGAGGTCTTCCTTCTGCTCCGGCTGCTGTTTGCTACCTGGTACGTCGGCGTGCTCGATCGGTCCAGGTTCAGCAAGAAGCATGGGACCAAACGCATCGTGCGAGTCGTGGTCCGAGAATGCGCCCTGTTAGGAATGCTTGGCTACACCGTCTGGTTTGCCTGGACCGGCCTCGATCGTACGGAGGAGACACCGTGTGGGACGTGGATCTTCTTTGCGGCGAAGCTCAATTTGTATGGCACTTACAGGTCGGCATATAAAGTACTGTCGATATCTGCTCTGTCCTTCGGCACGATCAAGCAGTGTGATACTGCCTTCCAGTTATTTCAACATTGGCGAAACACTGATATCAGAAGCCCGGACTATTTTGCTCGATTGCGGCAGGCTTTGCTGCTACAGCACTACCACAACGATATCTCCAGCGACGATAGCTGCAACGTACCGCATCCGCATAGAAGGTCGGCAGAAGTGGGTCATCCAGTTAGGAACTCCGAATCTGCAGCATCTAGCCCACCGCACCCAAATGTCCTCATCCGCGACGACGAGGACGAAGACGCCAGCACCAGATCTGTTCGGTCAAACAATTCAGCATCCATCCAATCAGACACCATTCGCCAAAAAGTGTCCGACGCCGCAACCCAACGCCATCTACCGGCCACACCTCCCCGTCCGCCCAAGAATCCACATACAACCAGTCAGAACGGCAGCCCCACCGCCCACGATCCGACTCTCAACGATCTACCCTCTCTCGACAACCTCATCGAAGCTGACCGCTGGCTCGAGGCCATCACCGCCGTCGACGTCGCCGACCACTCAGCCTGGTGCTACCAGCTGCCCGGGCTGCCCATGAGGATCTTCCTGCCACCGCTGCATCCGCCGAAGCGGATCCAGCAGAGGATCTCCGCCCTGTACGCTCTGCGGCCATTCCGCCTTCCGGTCCTGATACCCTTGGCCCGTCACGTCAGATCGCTGTGCAGATTCGGATGGTACAACTACCCGATCATGCTCGAAGCGGCGTTGCGAGACCCGTGCCACAAACGGATATCCAGATCCACGTTGCTGACGACGATAGCGCTCCACAAGGCGCAGTTGCCGACCGGCAGGCCCACGCCGCATACAGTTTGGAACGCCTGCGTCTCTCTGGCTATGTGTGTTGAGTTGATACTCAGCATCGAGCTCTCTATATATTGGAACCATATCGGTGGCATGGGAAACGTAGGCGCGCCGGGCCAGCTGATCCCTGCCATCATTGGGATAGGAGGGCTGGTGAAGGTGGTGTGGATATGGTGGTCTAGGGATGATGCCGTCGAGGAGGTAGATGATGGAGTGGGCAAGGAGTTGAGAGAGTGCGTGGCGGTCTATCAGAGGCTGAGGGAAGAGAGGGGAGACTTGACGAAGAACGAACAGATAGCGACTACGGTAGCTGCGAAACTCTGATGATTCTAAATTCTCTCGGCTCAGTTGGAGCGTGGTGGTTCCTTTCGTGCTCTCCAAGTCCACGTATCGGTCCTACTAGTCCCCCACCAGGAATGTTCCTTACTCCAGAGTGTTTGGATCGATGAGAGAGTGAATCGGTGATAGTAGTCTGCAAGCTCTCAGAGCTTGGATTCCTCTAATGCCATGCAACAGGCCTCGCCATGCTTTTATGTTGGCTCGTCGCGTAGAATCAAATGGCCTCCCCTCACTCTTTGACATGGATGCTTACCTGCTATAAATGCTATCACAGCCCCAAACATCTAGAACGGACCCCACGATACTCGCAACAGTCCCAACAAGACGGTACCAACGACGAACACATCGCGGTACACAACCGGTCCAAATGAATAGGACAGGCTCATGACCACGGCTAGGAACTGGAGTGCAAGCTTCTACTATCCCGTTCGCAGCCCCAGCACCTCTAAATCTCATCTCCGTTGCGGAAAGCTAGTCCCTCGGATAGCAAAATCATGCTGAGCGCTCTCCAAATCATCTCTTTTTGTAGCGTTGCCCTTGCCCATCTTTGGGTCCGATTCACTCGCCGTACCCATTCTCGGTAGCACAGCGTCGTACTCGTCCAGCGTGACATACTCGCCCTTGACCTCGACGGTCGACGGGTGATAAGCTTGGTTCCATATCTGTGAGACGTCCCTTTCTCCTCCATTGCCTTTTGCGAAGAGTTTCTTGGATGATTCCGCCGAGTTTCGAGGTGTTTCCACCATGACGGAAGATCGGGATTTGGGTGGAGGATTACTACTGCTGCTGCCACGCTTGGATTTGGAAGCGAACGTCGCGTAGAGTTTCGGACTGAAGTGTCGGAAGAATTTGGGGAGTACGGGCATGCAGCTGACAATGGTACCAATGGCAATCTCGGCGTAAGTCCAGAGACCCATCTTGACCACGTTATAGCTGATGTCGCGCGACTGGAAAATCTGCCAAGCGTAGTATGTGCGCCAGACGGATGTCACACAAGCCCTAATGTTCGGAAGAGATCAGTAAGCCTTTTTCCAAGTAAGGGGTAAAGGGAGGGGGGGTTTCTCTCGGATGATGACACGGCGTCGATGATGGATACTTACAGGAAGCCCGTTGCAAATACTGCTGTCGTCTGGATCTTCTTCTTCCGGGGCATCTGTAGTTTCCAAAGAATTGGCATCGGTAGGATCAAGATTGCGAAGTCGGTGATGACGTTGAATATTGCAGTAGACAAGTATGCAGCGCTTGTGTCGATGCAGTGGCCCGTGTTCATCAATGGGTTCCAGATTTTCTTGCGCGGACTACATTGCGCAATGGCGAAGATGGTAGCGACCAGGTACATTGTGAAGCAACCCCAAATACAGATTTGTATGGCAACAAAAATGGACATGTTGCCCTTTCTGTTGGGCACGAAGATTCTCAGGTACTGGAGGAGAATAGATAACTTGACAAAGAACACAATGGGGCAATATAGTACTGAAGAGAGGTTAGTCCACTAGAATTATGGTAAGTCTCCTCCTATATGTAATGGATACTCGGAGGCAAATCATACGTAGAGCATATCGAAGAAAGTTTTGAGCTGTATGTTCCACATATGGCATCCACCACCATGTTTAGTGGTAATTGCAGATGGAACCGTCTCCGCAATTTGGATTAACTTGGTGATGTTAGTAAGATTCGAAAACTTCCCCCTACCTCAGGCCTTACCCATCCTAGCATGACAGCATCTAAGAAGTATCAGTATTGTGAGCGGAGCAAGCTGTGGGACCGTACAATCTTCATAAGCAACGGATCGAATTATAAACAACTTTGTATACATGCGCATAAGAACAGCTAAACTCCCGAAAGTCAAGACCAACGTCAGTGTCAAAATGAGGAAAGCATTGAGATTCGGTGGATCCTGGAAGTTTGGCACTACTCCAGCAGGAGGTGTCCCGGCTGGTCCATTCAACAGTGTCTGAATCGGAGCTGTCGTTGGGGTTGCCATGATTTCTTTTGCTTCAATGTCAAGGTGACGAGTGGTGTCGGATTTGATTACACAAGGACGAGGACGAGGACTAGAAGTGTGAAGAAATCAAGACGCCACCAGTATCGCCTTTGAAAGATCTGGCTTCACGGCGACAATGCCACACATATGTCACAAGTTGATTGGAGACAAGCTGCTACAACGCAGCAATTGGTGTCGATCGTATTGGGCGTCATGTAGGTGAAAGCAGCCAATATGGCAAAGCAGCGTAACTTGCATGAAGGCAGGATTCAAAATCTTGGCTCACAGCCGAAAGTGAAATAGCGCAATGCATTGCTGGAAACAGACAGAGGCGCAGGCAGCGGATAGGGTGATGGAGATGCAGGACGAAAGGGGGATCTGATCGACGTGGGACGGGATGAAACATTGAACAAGGCCACGAGGCTATTTTCTTATAAACCAAGGAACCAAGGGCAATTGGCTGCTGCAAGCTCAAGAAGACAACCCTCATGCAGGTATGGGGTGAGGCGTAGACTTAAGCTGGTAATGATCTGGTCTTGTCATGATTGATGACTCGACTGATTGGCCCAGAAAGGCAGTATCCACCCCAGCCTCATCACACACCAATGGAATCGAGTGCGAAATCTCGGTGACCTGCATGGTGACGATGCATAAGGTAGTATCCCAATTTTATGAGCTGCTGATCTGCGCTGCTTCCACTGACCGTGAAACAGAGAGTTTATGTGCGCGAGCTCCTAAGTAAATAACGATTGCAGATACAATGAAATATTCTGCCACAAAGTGTAGAGCTGATAGCTTGTAATAAAAACAGATTGGGTAAGGGAAGGGAAGAAAAACAGGCTGAGGGAAGCGTGTGATGGATAGCGGAAGGAGCAAGTACCTTCAAAAGGGTGTGCACCTGTGAGACCAAAATGGAAGGAGTGGGGATGCACATATGGCATCTACTCCGTAAAGCAGGTACGCCTTGTTTCGCTAGCCGTTCGTCCCGACCACCGTTGTCTGGAAACCGGAAAGGCTGAAGCACCGCCTGAACTTGGATGTAATCAGATGCAGGAACCTGCATGCCCATAACGGCGTACCAAGTCTGCATCGTTGATGGTCCAAATGAGGACTGCCATCGCTTTCGAAAAAATGCCAGGGTTCAGATCCATTGTCTACTCTAGTTCTGCAGTTTCCTTCATACATATGGATGGAGTGGGAGGACTGATAAAAGTATTTTGGGGGAAATGGTGGATATTGAATCAAGGTCTAAACGAGGAACGAGAGCCTGAGGAGGAGGAAATTGAGTATGGGTACAGCGTAGTACTTGCTGTAAATGGCTCGGAGCCCCATCGCTCGTGGCTGCAGCTGGGTACTGATAATCTTTTGCTAATCGTAAAATCGTAAAAGGGCACCTCCCAACATGGCCCCTAACATCTCCCAACCTCCCTCTCCAACACTGTCCAAATCCGCTTTTCCACGTCTTCCTCCTCCCTACTTCCCGGGCTCACAGGTTCTCGATGCTGGTCCGTTTCCACACCATGCCCCACACCTCCACCTCGGTCTTCCCTCCCCAGCCTTTCGACAACCTCCTTCGCCCTCCCCACAGTCTCTCCCACCCCCTTCGTCTCACCCCTCACCCTCTCCAGCTGCTCTTCCAGCATCAGAATCAGCGTTTCCCTCGCCTGATGCGGTCGATACCCATTAATGACCTTGTGGACCTCCTGGAACAGTTCGTGCAGCTCGTCCCATATGGGGCCGTAACCGGCAGGGTTGGTCGCCAGGGCGTTGGTGAGGGAGAGAAAGGTCAACAGGATTTTATGCGTGAGGGAGAGAAGGCGGGTGGGGGTCGGTGTTTGCTGGTCTTCGGAGGCCGGTGTCGGAGAGACTTCGTGAAGGGTGCCGAAGGAGCGGTACTTGCCCTCTGCTGGTGGAGGAGGAGGTATGAGGTTGCGTAGTTCGAGTGGTAGAGAGAGGACGTCTGGAATAGGCGCTGTGGTCGGTTGTGTAGCTGGCGAGGTGGGTTGGCCTGAGGATTCGAGATGCTCTTGTAAGCGCTCGAGGTTCTGCGACGTGAAAGACTTGTAGAAGGGCGGTGGAGCTGGGAAGGCGGCGCTGATTGTACCCGGCTGAGGTTGGTCTGCCATCATTGTCGAGAACTGTCAGTGGTCTTGGGGGGGAATATTGCTATCGAATGGGAAAGACTTTTGAGTTGCAGCGTTGAAATGCAGGGATGCGGTTGGAATCCGGGGTAAACACGCTAGCGGTCCGCTTGCATAAATGCGAAATTCACTTAACAATTAGGCTGCAAGCTTCAGCTTCGTTGCCACCCCCTTGACGCCTATGGAAATACATATTTCTAGATGAGGGTCCAATGCGGCAGATCTCATTGACGGCCATGCCCCGCGCCGCTGGGAAGAAGACAGCTGGCAAAGACGAAGACTTCATGTCTTCCGTCTCCAGATTTTGGAACCGTTCCTACGCTGCAGACTACGCTGGCTTCGCCCTGCTGCTGCTGGCATATAGCTTGGTGGGTCACCAATGGCTCGAATCAGGATCGAGAGACTGACTCGTGCCCAGATCCAAGTACTCGTCGAGCCTTTCCATCGCATGTTCTCCCTCGACAACATCTCTATACAATACCCTCACGCCGCGGTCGAGCGTGTACCAGTCAGTATGCAGCCTTCGAGTCCTCCTTTGCCTACGTGGCCGCTGAATAGGCAACGCAGTATGGAACGTCGCCTACTCTGTCTTTCTGCCACTGTGCATATTCTTCCTGTGGGCAATTATACTTAGGCCTGGTCTACACAAGACCAATGTCACAATACTGGGTCTTGCGATCAGCATCATGCTGACTACGTTCCTTACGGACGTGGTTAAAAATTCCGTGGGACGACCAAGGCCGGACCTGATTGCTCGCTGCAAGCCTAGAAAGGGTACCCCTGAGCATACTCTGATCACCATTGGCTCTTGCACCGAGACGGATCACCACGTTTTACATGATGGATGGAGAAGCTTTCCCAGCGGTCACAGCAGCCTTGCTTTTAGTGGATTAGGGTATCTGGCGTTGTAAGATCCTCATAAACGTTGTTCTACGGGTAGTTGGCTGACCTATCAGGTTCTTCGCTGGGCAAATGCATGTTTTCCGACCCCGAACTGATCTAGCCAGAGTTCTGCTTGCCCTAGCACCGCTGGTCGCTGCTGCGCTGATATCAATATCGCGCTTGGAAGACTACAGGCATGATGTCTACGATGTCACTACGGGATCGATTCTGGGCATGCTCGTCGCTTATTTCTCGTACAGAAGGTACTACCCAATGCTGACTTCACCTCGTTGCGATACACCATTCCCAAGCCGAGCAGAGTGGGCTTCGAGAAATGGATTCGGGAAGCTGAAGGATGAGGAGGCAAGGACTGGAAGCGCTGAAAGCTTTGACGTAGACGACATGGAGGATGACGCGGAGCATGTGCCTTTGCGAGACGCGAGTAGAGAGCGTGGCAGGTTTGTTGGTAGTAGAAGCGAGCCATAGCATTCGAGCATGGTACCCTGCTCGAAAAAGGCAATACTCCGAGATACCTAGGTTGGCATCCGTCAACATTTCAGCGCGTACTTGGCTACCGTGATCGCTATTGCACAACATCTCTCAAAAATACGTCCGGTTATGCTGTACATGGATCGTGCAACTCGGACTGTCAATAGAAGTGGATGTACATGCATCAAATCGGGCTGTACATAAAACAGCTCCCGATCGTATTCGGTCGATGAACAAAGCAGGAGGACGCCATTCCATGCAGGAGTGAGATCGACTGGCGCACTTTTCAGCCCAGAATCTGGCGTCGTTCGCTGGCACTTCAGCGCTTCATCATGAAGCGACGAGGCCGACATCGTGGGGAAAATCCAAGTGACTGTGATAGGTGACATCGTTATTGAAGCTCGCAGGAAGCGGAAACACCCGGATTGCAATCGCTGGCGAGTGCCTCCAGTGAACGTGACAGAGGCAATTTGGGAACGCGAGCTGGTTCTGCCTTATGTGGTGAGAAAAAAATTCTTTCTCGAGAGAAGTATCGCTTGTTAGCCAGCGAAGCAAGCGATTTGGCGTTAATCGTCCGCCTTAAATCGTGTTACACATCTGGTAGCCGGCTTGAACACCGTCATCATCTTCGATCATTTCCTCTCTAGATTCCTATGCAAGACATGCTCCCTCATAGCCAGACTCACCAGCCCACCTACAATACCTATGCCTAATGTCGTAAGGAAGACGCCTCTCAGCGCCTCCATGTACACCTCTCTCACCTCACCCCTCCATTCTACCGGTAATGTCTTGATCTCGTCGAGACTATCCCTCAACCTCCCAATAACATCAGCGGCGCCCTCCCGGTCGCCCAATACCGCCCACAACCTAATCTTCAAGATATTCTGGAATACAGCGGATGCAATTGTAATACCAATGGCGCTGCCGGTACTTCGGAATGCATAAGAAGCCGACGTGATGACGGCCTGATCTTTATGATCCACAGCGCTGATGAGCGCGAGGAGTGTGGTAGTAAGCATACCGCTGTACCCAATCCCGGACATCAACATGGCAAGCACAGGCTCCCATGCTGGCGTCATCAAAGTGAACGATGATAGCAAAGCGTAAGCCGCGGTGAACACAATCTGGATACAGATGTTGAGTATGTAGTACTTTCCCGTCCAGCGCATGATGAGTCCAGTAGATACACTACCTATTGCCGTGCCGATGGACTGTGGTATCAGTCGTACACCAGCTTGGGTAGGGGATAGGCCTTTAACTTGAAAGTATATGGGTCCGTAGAAAAGGAGCGAGAAAACGCACATGGTCAGGAACCAGTTTGTCAAGCAGGCGGCGAGCACAGTCCGGTTGAGGAGAAGCTTGACTGGTATGACAGGCTCAGACGCGAGCTTGCTCTCGATGTAGATGAAGAGAAGGAGGAAGATGAAAGATAAGGAAAGAGTCGTGTAGATTAGAGGGTGGTTCCAGGGAACGACATTGCCGCCCGAGTTCAGACCGACAAGAAGGAGAACCAAGGTCGTGATGAGCGTTGCGGCGCCGAGGAAGTCGATACGCTTGAGAGCTGATTTGGAGGAGTATTTGACCGGGATATTGACGGTGAAGGATACCATGATGCCGGAGATGACAATGAATGGCACTCTGTAAGGAATTTTGGAGTCAGCCTGTCTCCCTCTATATAGAGATTGGAGAGTAGAAACAGGGTTAGGGATTGAAACAACAAATACGCTTCTAAAGCATTTATTGTGGTTCAAGCTCGGCAAAAGGAAAGCCTCGTCTCCACGGCCACCTACTGAATCAGAAACGCTTTCCGCCATCCCCAAGTATCATTGATCCAACCGCCGAAGACACCACCAAGACCAGCGCCAACACCAAAGCAGATGTTCCCGAAACCTTGCCATACCCCCCGTCGGCGCAGAGGAACAAGATCAGACCCTACGAAGGTGGAGATAGCTGTCAGACCACCACCGCCCATACCAGCAACAATCCTGCCAAAGATCATAACCCATTCGCTCGTGGCGAGACCGCAGATGAGGTTGCCAGCGGCGAAGAAGATGTTCGAAAATATCAGACCCGTCCGTCGAGACAGTATGTCCGTTAGTCGACCGCTAAGCGGCTGGAGAGCTGCATTGGCTATGAAATAGGCCGAAGCAAGCCAGGAGAGTAGGGACAATGAATTGAAGGAGGTGGATATCGGGGCTGACAATGTGGCTATGATTGTCGCATCTAACGCAGCCAAGAATGTGCCGAACCAGATACTGCTCATGACGATGAGCAGCTTGCCTGTGCTAGGTTCTTCCGCGAGTGGAGCATCGTTCTCGCCCCGGCTGTCACCAGTGTTATCGGTATCTCCTCCTTGGCCTGATTCACCATCAGGGGTGACTTTGCCATCGCCGTTGCCGAGTAACGGACTCGTTTCAGAGGCATGTTCTTCCACGTTATCATGCTCCGTCAACGCCATGGTCTAGAGAATAAACAGCAGATGAAAAATTGCAGGGAAATATTTCCAAAAGAAAGTAACACCTTAGCCAGAGGGGACGCAGTCGGCAGAACTATCTAAGCTCGGGGATGATAGGAGTGTTGACGGATGAAAACACTGAACTCGTAACATCGTTAGAATATGGAGAAATTGATGACCTTTTATCCTCGGGGGCGAATCACCGTTTTCCGAGGTTTACCCAACTCTGGCATCCCACAAATATGAAGTTATTTACCACGCGGGTGACAGAAAAGCCTGGCACTAACCAAATGGGATTACGGCCTTTCCCCACCAAATTTCTATGCAAATCCTTTTTTTATTTGCCTGTCATTGTCATCCTTATCTGTCTTTCGTCTACTATTACAACTCATTTTAACTAGAGGGAAATTTTGTGAATTATTAGCCTTATCTAGCTTAATGCAGGTTATGTCGCTTTTTTCCCCGTTTTTCAATTTCCTTTTCTTATTGCTTGCGTGATTCTGCTAGATACGACATCGCCAGGCTTTCCTATTTAGCCCGGATTTTCTGGGGTTTTTTCCCTTTCCGGATCTAAGCTCTATTATTGTCACTTTTGGTGTCTTTGTTGAAATTCACAGCTTATTTTGATGGTTTCCGGTGCTGGTCTAGTGGGTTCTTGTGTTTGTTATTATTTAGAAATTTTCTTTATTTTGTGATCCGAGTGTGTCTGAAATTATCGGACGCTAAATGGCAGGAGACGAGCGGGAGATCGACACGCCACACCCGTCTCCACATGCGCTTTCCTATCGAAATCAAAATAGGCATGGGGGTAGCATTATTAGATGTACACCCACTTTCGATGTCCTATATGTACAACCCCCAAGTCGATACAAGTCTACTGACACGGTGGGTGCGAAGGCGCAACCATGAATGTTCTTCTGCAAACTGCACGTAGAATGCCTCGCACCATCCTGATCGATGTTTGGATTGAAATCACAGAAGCACTAGCTGCTGTATGAGAGATGAAACATGTATTTATCAAGGTCTACTGCATTAAATTACATTACTCTAACAGATATCAAATCCAACAATGCAGATGCATTGAGTATTTGATTGCTTATTTTCTATCTGAACAATCTCGATAAAAATATGCGAACTGTAAAGCGTGTTTGTGCCCATCGGCCGTTGGATAGCGATTATGGTCTGCAGACTAACATTGGATGCGGGATCGTAAGGGGGAATTTGTCGGTTTCTTCTTACATCGCGCCTGAGATCTATCACCCAGCAAGATGGTCAAATTCGAGCGTTGCAGTGTGAGATTCATCTAATATCCAGGCGTTGTTCTGTGTGCTCGAAGAACAATCTCGAGTTTTGCATTCCACACAAAGAGAAAGCACTTACAGAAGCCTCAGCTCCAAGAGTAGAAAGCGGTTGTTCTCCTGGCGTTACAACGGTTGCCGAGCCTTGAACTTGCCGTCATGTTCCAATCGTCTTCCGTTCCATCGCTTTAGGTCTTTGAGACCAACAATAGTTAGAACCTGAGGCTGAAACACAAAAGATGATCGAAGCACGTCGAGTCTGAACCTCATGTCACTGATGACAGACCTTGAGGGTTCGAAATGTCCGGCTATTCCACCCTCTCTCCGCCGTTCAAAGCTCCGCCCTCCTTCATCAACCTCACCCTGTCTCCGTCTCCAATCAATTCCTGCCCCATCATCTCCTTCTCTGCTCCGCCAATCTCGACCCCAGCACATTTCGACACAAATTCGCAAAGCCTTGTTTCCGCCTCTCTTGCATTCCTCGTCAACGCATGATCGTCTCCATCAAAAAGCTTCAGCTCCCTCTCCCCCTTCGTTCCATACTCATCATACAAGCGTTGACTACAGGAGTACCTCAGTGTCCTATCACCAGTGCCATGCATCAACAGAACAGGCTTCGGAGCCAATCTCCCAATCCCTTCCGTCTCAGCTGTCTGGCTGGCCACGGTGGCACAGCCAATGACCCTCTCTTCGCTACCACCAAGTGTATATACCGGTGCGCCGCCGAACGACCAACCTACGAGCACGAATTTTGAAAGCCCATAGCCAGTCTCCAGATACTTCATAGCTGCCTGCACATCCGCTACGCAGTATTTGTTTCTTGCCGGATAACGGTAGTCTAGTCGCATGACCGGTATGCCCTTGTTCAGACTAGCCAACTTGTCCGCCATCGAAAGATATATTGAGGATGGACCCACCACACCTCCGCCTGCACCGGATAACAGTATAGCGGCCGTCTCCGCGCGTCCCTCGGTTTGTTCGCGGCGGTAATTTTGTGGAATGTGTAAGAAAGCAGGGACCGCGCCATAGAGATCGTCATTGACTTTAATGGTGACAGGCTTCACCTTGCATGTTTGTTTCTGCGCGTTGGTAAGAGGATCAAGGTTTGGTGGGTGGGAGAGGCCTTTGTTCTCATAAGCGGAAAGGCTGGCGGGAGGGGTGGAGGGAGGTCGGCTGGTTGAGAGCGAGGTCTTCGGGGTGGCCATGGCTGAGGACTGTAGGCGTGAGATGTCTGCTGAGACGTTGGAGATGAAGCTGCTTAGTAGAAGACGAAATGCACGCATGAGATGGTAAAGATGGGGCAAACACTTTGCCAGGATATAGGCAACAAGAGAAAGCGGAAACCAATGAGATTTTATGTCAGCATGATGTAATGGACGGAAGGGACATTGGAACGCTCTGGCTGCCTCAGATCTCGATAGCCAAATACAGAAGAGTGATGCTTCAATAAGGCCAATTCAATCTCTGGACCATGTACACGATAGTGGTTCAAGGTTGAGTGATTAGCTGACAGAGGGCCGCACGCTTCTTTAGTATGGTCAATGAAGCCATTATCAGATCCACACAAGGCATATCTTATGTCTCTAGAAAGTTCAGAGCCACCCAAATGATAGTAGACCAGATTGGTGATATCTAAGGTAAATAAATAATGGAGAAAAGGATTCGGAAAGGATCAAGTCGAGGTGCCAGGAAGAGTTGGCCGCTGCGCGGCTGTTTCTTAACACGCTAGACAAGAAATGTCTTAGCCCGACCTTCGGCATCCTAGGAAATTCTTGCCGGATTGCGCAGACCCTAACCCTAACCTCATGACTTTCAGTGCTATCAATTCGACGCAAGATTCGCACGATTGAATTTCCTAGTAAAAACACGAAGACTTGCAAAAGCTGATTAAGATTGATGAGACAGCAACTGATGAATTTGTAAGCGCAGCAATCAACATCGATACTCAAAAGATGGCTGTCTTAGAGTATGACTGTATGAGTTGCATTAGAGGCGAGAGTCAGAAGGTTTAGCATTTGCCCCAAGCAACCAAGCAATCCACATTGATCTTTCTCGCCAAATCCTGGATCGTATTTCCTCTCCAGAGGGAACGGCAAGGCTCGAGACCCCGTATCTTGGGACAGAAGAAGACGACAGTCGGGAGTTCACGACATACCCAGAACGTTACGGATGGAATAGAAAAGTAGATTTTTCACGAGCGAAATTTCACTGAAAAGGAACCCGAAGATGTGGAGGCTTTTTTCCAGACTTGGCTCTACTTCGGTCTCCTGACGTGCACTTTCCGCACAGTTGGCACTATACGTGGTCAGAACGCTGATTTCGCGAGGACCGACCAAGGAAGCAAGCTCATTATAACGGAGCGGCTACACGGATGTCTTGACGATTGGAATACTCGAGAGAATGTTGCGTTGATCAAATACCGCGGAGGTGATCCGAGCGAGGTCATAGAAATGAACGGCAAGGTCGCTAGTTGGCCATTCGCTCTCGCGATGCTTTCCGAAGTCCATGACTATGTGAACTGATATTGCAATGAACAAGGTCAACGATTTTCTCCAGAATCTCAGCTCTCGAAGAACTTTCCCCCCGCCCATTTCCCCCAAAATATCCATATCTATTATTGCTATAACAGATGCGGTGACACAGGCCGCTTCGAAAATCCATGACTTCCCTAGCTCTGATCTGCGTCTGCAATGGGCAACAAGTGCCTTTTTGACTCAGCGGCTCTTTGCCAAGGGTTGGTGCCCAAAAGATGTTGCGATGCTCACATCTGGGAAAGGTCGGAATGTCGACTTGCAGTACTATACGACTTGTATCCCATACTCGAGAGGGCCACTAAAGCACGCTGTGTAAACCGATACGACCTTTTTTTTGCAAAAAGTGGATATCAAGACCTATGTTACGCGCCATGTCGACACAGAATGCAACTGGTTGCACATGGAGGTGCCGCAGGATGTTTTTCCCATTATAGAAAGAGAGTGGATACCTCCCGTGTCTTTTCGAAGAAACGAAATTGGCGAGTCTTTGAATACTTACCGAAATCGAATACTCATATCAACAACCGTGCAGCAAGAGTGTTCATGTCCAACTGGCAGCGCCGGCTCTGGACTCTTCAAGAGTCGATATTCGCGAAAAGTCGGGATTTTCAGTTGCGCGATGGGCCGCAGCATCGTGATGATCTGCTAGTGGACGTGAAGATCGACGTCCATTTCAATCGCAGGTTCTATCACAGAATCGCATTGATGGGACTCGTCGGTGCGATTTCTCTGCCGGAGTACTTCGGAGTTCAAGATCAGATGCCGCCAGCTTCCAGATTCGATATGGCTGCAATCAATCTGAGTCAGCGAACTCCCAACCGGCTCTCAATTGACACCGTCTGTTTCGCCGCGATTCTAGCCTTAGATACTGTACCATCACAAGTCATTTCTTCTGAGAAGGTGGGCGGAAGGATGGCCAGATTTCTTCGTATGGTAAAGAATCTTGGACAGTATCGAATATTCGATGCGGTCTGCGTGTACTGTGAATGGATTTGGGTGGGCACAAGCGTCCTACCTGAATCGGAACCCCACCGCGATGGCAGACTATGGGAACGATGCAGTCCCCTATGCAGGCTTGAATCCGACCGGGGGCTTGGTCGTCTCTTATCCTGGAATCTGGCTTGGGACTGTGGGTCGTTCTTTGAATCTTCAATGTGCTGTGTTATTCCCCATCATCACACGAACGGACTTATCATTAGTAGTTCCGAGAGTCTGAAACTGGAAAGGGAGTTGCTGCGTGGAATCATTCTAAAGTGTTCGCACTCATTTCGTACACTACATTCAAGAAGCTTTCCCATACACCAGGCAGTCAATCAATCGCGATTATTGGAACGCGTGAGGATCATGCAGAACTTGATAGCTTGCAGATCAAGTATATTTGCCGGGTAACATTGATACCGACCGATGAAGAGACTATAAACGCCTATGAGCACAGGAGAGGCGAAGAGGTATCCGCTGTGGAAGCCAAAGACGGTCTGATGATCGAGGAACGGCTGCTCGACGAAGAACACCAGTGGTGCGTGCTCTGAAAGGGTATGTGTAAGAATCAGAATCTTGCCAAGGACTCGTCGTACACAGTGTTTACACCAGAGGATCCTAGGATGCAGGTCACGAGGGTGAAGCATGGCCACATTTATCTTTGGCGTCCAGATCGGCCTGGCACGTTGTAATCCTTTGTTTGAAAATCCATACTCGATTCGACTACCGTTGTTCCGGGCATCTTAGCCTTCGAAACGTCCGTTCACTTTCAAGCAAGGTATCCGCAACGCAACGTTGGACGTTTCCACTGCTTTCCATTCATCCTTCTATTCACACAACCGTCTTGTAGCCAGGTTCCTCGTTTACCAGGGGCTCTTATAGCTCACGAACTCCTCCATAGCTTGTTATGATCTCTAAGGCTCGCCGTTGCACCGTCAATAGCAACGCGCTAGAAGGTAGCATGGACTCTTACAGTTGTATGAATGATATCGCTGCATGGAGAAGACTTGTGTCATGGATGCCTTGGACTCAAAAGTGTTCTCGACATCCCCCTCCTCCAATACGGCCTCATCATCCCATGACTCACCTCCCTATAGATCAGCGGAGCCTCCGATTAGCTTAATGGAGATTTGAGTCTTCTTTTCCAGGCCGGACTGCTTCACGCAGAAGCTCGTTTGCTCACGGCGCTCCCACGGCTGTTACACTACGAGCACGGAAGGCAGTCTGAATAATACTTGCAATGGACAGGCTTGTAATTGAGATTTTCTATCGATGCTTTATGATCTAATCGTAAAAGGCATGCATCTCTAGAGAAGGCAAAACATAAGCTATGCTGATTAACTTTCCTCCAATCTTCCAACCGTGACCGAGAAACTTGCCGCTTTCCTATAACGCCACTCATTCGGTCGCGGAGATCGCGAGACGATATGCCAGCTACGCCACCGGCGCTCACTTCTGCAAATGCGGGGCACTTGTTGCCGGTGATCTTGTTACTAGACCTTCGAAAAGGTGAGTAATTACAGTTTCAGACGTAGAAGTTTCTACGATGGTGGTTGTCCAGATGGACGTATAAATAGAAGTGACAATTGCCTAAGGAAGTAAGTCAATCAGCAGAGCACCTCAAGCTCGTGGAGTGGCAATTTCCACTTACGGTATCGCAGCCAGTACAGTTCTGGGGGGCAGGTGTGAAGCTAGCGTTCCGGCCGAGCGAGTTGGTGGGCTGACTGAATAGGGGTGTAGTGGCGTTCGAAAAAATCGTCGGGAAACCTGATGGGGTGGAAGAACTAAGCTTGGTCGAAGTAGGCAAACCGTTGGTCTTGTTGTCTGACGCAACGGGTATGGATAATGAGTGAGACGAAGAGATATTGATAGATATAGACGGAGATCCGGATGATATATGGAGTGCAGATGTGACGTTGGCGCTGATGGTGGGGAATCCAGATGGGCTTGATGTGATATTTGCACTGGCGCTCGAGATCCCAGATGGGGTGGAACCTTGGAATCCGGATCGATCCGAAACGCTGGGGAGAGGGAAGGAGGGGACGGTAGGTGTTGAACCGTTAGATGAGATTGTAGGTAGCCCCGAGGGAATAGATGCGGCTAATCCGGAAGATGTACCTATAGCTGTGCTGTTCGAAGAAATCTTAGAAAGTCCAGACGAGGGTGATCCGCTAGACGAGGTACTGTTGGACGAGATTGTGCGCAGTCCAGATGAAGCCGAGATGGTGGGGACTCCCGTCAACGAACTGTTAGAAGACATCGTGGGCAATCCGGAAGCTGCAGTGGTGGATATAGCGGGTATTACAGATGGGGCTGAACTGCTGGCAAGTCCGGTCGACGAAATGTTTAAAGAGAGGGTATGGGACCCGGAGGGGGCAATAGAACTCTGGAGTCCAGATCGATTCGCACTCGGCTGGGTGAAAGGAGGCACCGTAGGAGAAGAGCTATTGACAGAAGTCGTAGGGATTCCAGACGGAGCGGAAGAGGCACCACTATGACTATGGTCAGCACAGAGACGTATAATGGAGCAGCACTGACTCACATTACCGACGAACTAAAGGAGGGAAGCGAAGAGACGTTGACGCTCAGAAGTAAAGTAGGGGTAACAGAGCTGTTCATGGAGGCGGAAATGCTCCCAGAGAGGCTGACAGTAGGACTAACGCTTGATGTGGCATTTGTCGTTACATTTGGTAATCCGCTGATCAGGACGGCACTTATAGTATAGTAGTCAGTATAAGGATGTTGGCTATATTGCTTGTTTTTGAAGAAGCAATTCTGGTCGTTGAGGGTATTTGGGAAGTAAGATGCGGCGAAGCAATTGTTTTCGGAGAAGCCGAGATTGACTTGGGCGCATTCGTTGATACAAGCGTACAAGTCAGGTTCGTCTAGACCTTCATTGGACGGGCCGGGGAAGTTGATGTAGCAAGTAATCAGGAATGTCTGGCCATGGGTAGTGTAGTCTGTACCGTTCTCGACAGGACAGACACCTCCAAGAGGAGGTAGCGTGGTAGTGCTTGAGACTGATGAGGTCGAAGTAGGTGTGGTGATGTTCGAAGATCCAGTGGCAATGCCCGATGAAAAGACTGAGAACCCTGTAGAAGCACCCGAAGAAACTCCAGGCGTAGGCACAGTGGAGTTGGCAGGTCCGATAGGAATCACTGATGGGGAGCCAAAAACGATTGGTGCCGATCTTGGAGGTCCACTCATAGGAATGACTGGGGGAGCGGTAGCGGTGAATGATGTCAAGCTTGTTGATCCACCAGGAGCATTTGAAGCAGAGCTTGAAACGACTGCTGTAGCACTTGAAGGAGAAGAAATACCAGGGGAAACGCTAGAGGCAGGAGCTGTGGAGTTGATCGAAACCACAGGAGCACCCGAGGAACCGACAGTTCCCGAGGCGGTAGCAGAACCGGGGGACGCACTAGAGATTGGGAGGGGCGACCTAAGGATCGCGCTGATTGAAGGGAAGGGAATTGTGGCCGTGTTGCTGGGAGACAATGGAACCACCGTGCTTGACGGGGCGATGCCACTTGAGGCTGGCACAGTAGTGGCATTTACTGGCGAAGGGAGCATAATTAATGTCGTCGTAAGGATATCGAAAGCTGTGCCAGAAATGGTGCCTTCTAAATAGTCGATCGCGGTTATTGTCCTAATCTTATGTACGAGTATCAGTGTATGACAGGCAGAAAACACTCAATGGGTCTCATACAGATGTCACAGTGGCCGTTTGGTCGAAAACACTTGGGGTGATCGTAAGGCATGAGCAAGCATCAGAGAGGGTTGAGAGTAGTGACTGTTGTTGTGGGCTTAGTGAACACGCGGCGTCGATGAGTTCGGAGGCGGGAGTAACGAATTGTCGCTTGTCCACTGCGCCAGCTGTGGTTGTGACTGTCGCTGTCGGAACTGTTATAGCGTCGACGTCTATCCCAGTGGTAACGGTCGTAGTCGCCGTTACTGTGCTGCGTTTCTAGTCAACACTTTGGCACAGAGATCAGGTAGGGGCATGCAAACGTTCTGCCAGTTGTTGTTGCCGTACTAGTCGAGATCCCAATGCTTAGGTAAGTACTACAAAAGGGGACAGAGTCCTCAGTATACTGCTGAAACGAGAGTAGAGCATCACCTTCCTCACAGACAAGTCTCTTTCGGAGCTCTTTCCTAAAGACCTCGTCCACAGGAAGTCGATAACTCAGGGCCGCGCCGCAAAGGAAATACACAAAAAGGACAATAAAGCCCAAAGACGAAGGCGAACGCATCTTTTGAAGCTTCGTACCGCTATGCTGAAAGGATGAATAGCAGGCAAAGGGAGCCAAAAGCGAGTGTGGTGAGTAGAAAAGACGGTGCAGTACAGAGCAGAAGTCATACTTTATAGGAAAAAAAGGAGAAGGCAGGGAGAATAGCCTCGATTCCTTACAGGATAAGACGAGAAAGAAATTTCGTCATCAGGTAGTGGGTCACCAAGCGAGTGGAATGGTACATGCTTAAGGGGCTTTGCCCGAAGAATGTACATGTATGGTAAAGCCACATAGGAGTAAGGGCATCGAACTGTGCCACTTGCTCTTCTAATTGGTTGAAAGCAAGGAAGCAACAAGAGGGACGGAACTCTCAGAAATTTGCAGAGACAATGCAAGTTACCTCCATTTCGAATCCACGGTAGCGTTTCCTTTGATCATTGGAGATGGCATACTATGCCCTGATGTCGCTGTTAACAAGAGGAGCGAAGAAAGTTGTACGTAGCAACTGACAGATGACGCTAGTGGTTTTCAGCCCTACCGTCCAACCTCCTTCAACTTGACCTTTGAAACCTCCTGGCTACGACATCACTACATTCCATCATTCCATGGGAGCTTGTTCCTCTTGTCTTGGCTTCGGCCGGCGGGATCGAGGAGTCGAGGTACCTCTTTCTGCTCCTTGATACCACTAGTACTGACTCGTCTCCCTTGCGCGCTTAGAATCCCGAAACATCACGTCTACTGTACGACGATCCTTACCGCTCACAATACGGAGCAACTGGCCAGAGCCAGCATCGAGTGCACTATCACCAACCAGATCCAGAATCACTTCGACGAGAGACGGAAGCGCTGGAAGGGATCTGTCATGATATGTCTGAGTAAGCTATGCTCCATCAGATTTCCCTTCCTCCCGGTCAACGATAGCTGATGTCCGATGTAGTGACGTGGTAGATGTTTTCACGCTCACGCCCCAGTCAGGCCAACCCAACAGCAACCTTAACTCCCAACCAACTACATCCACTGACGAGGGTACGCCAACCGCCAAAATGCACGAGGAGCATACTAGAGAGAAGCATGAGCCAGCACCTCAAAGGATGATGTACAGGAGTGTGCGGGCTGCTCCATCAGCAGGCCACATCTGGAGGGATTTGAACGAAGACCCTAAAAGTTGGGAAGTGGCCAAGGCAGTCATGGAGGGCTCGGGAGAAAGAGGATGAAATCAGTGGCTAAATGCATCAACACTTGACTGCTTGTTACCTCTGTCTCTCGAACCCAAGGCGCAGGAATGCAATTACAATCTGCAGCTGAACGTACTATTCATCTCAGCTTTCGATCGTTGCAACCGGGCGATCATACCTCTCAGTCAAAACCTCAAGCTCTACATCACCAACATCGGTATGCTGTTCGCAGCGTTCCGGGCAGCGGGAGTTCAATTGGTTGGCCAAATCCTCCACCATAGCCACAACATATTCTGGACTCAACACGTACCGATCCCTCCGACGATCTACAAACCCTCTGCTCTCAAACGCGGATAAACCCATGCAGAAAGTCATAGGCCCCTGCTTCGGAAATCGCGAAGAGATGGTCTACCCTCGCCGGCAGTTTCCACGGACGCAAAGCTGTGCACTCAGCTAGCAACCACGAGATACCCACCGAGTGAATCAAGTTGTCGAGCACGCATTTAATTGTCTGGGTATGCTGCATCTTTTTGCCGTCATTGGCCTGCAGCCATGCGAATGCATTTTCCGGCTTCTTGAAGCGGAAGCTGTTTATTGAGTAATAGACCTGGACTGCTCCTCGACACACCAATTGGCAGAAACTCAGGAGCCCTTCCTTCAGTCTTGGACGCTGGTCGATGCAGAGATGTTCATCTTTCTCGTGAAGGGCGTGCTTCCAGGCCATCATACGCACCTTGGGGGGCAGATGCAAAAAGCCTTTGCTTGGCTGCGCCGTCATTCTAGTTTTCTTGCTTAAAGCTTTTTTCTAGAGACCAAAGAATGAGACAAGAGACGTCATGACATCTTCTGAATCATTAATACTGTATTGACTACCACAACCTGGCTTTTTCATACACAGACACATGTGCCAGGATTATGCATAATTCTAGAAACCCGTAACAAGAATCTGGTTTGCTCAAAGAGTGACTAGATGGGGAAATGATATTCGATCATTTAGTACTGAAGCTCTTCAGCATTCGTACTTCTGGATTGAGAAACTTGCTGCTGTAGTGACTGCATTGTATCCCATCTTTAACTTCTGCCGATAACAAATCTCATGCACAGCATCTAGGGAAATTCTCTTCTGAATTGGCCCACTATGCCAAAAAGCCGTGATCTCAATTCCTGTCTAGCTGTCCTCCCATGACAATCTCTTTCCAATTCTCCAGATGCAACAGCAACAGCAATTCTCCAACTCCTCCAGCCTTCCACATCCCCGCATCCCCAACGTCGTCTCCCCCCATCGCCCAGTCAAGCCTCATCCTCCCCTCCAAGCGCCCCCAACTCAACCTCACCACAACCGTAATCTCAGCCCTCTTTCATTCCGGAGGTCCCCGCCGGATAAAGCGTCCTCGATTGCGCCAGCATTGCCTTCACCGCAGGCATAATCTCACCCTCATTCCATCTTTCAAAGTCGTTAGTTAGCAAGGCCGTCAAGCCACGACCAGTCGGTACCATATTTTCTTGTTTTTGCCGTGTCAAAGCCATGTAGAATTCCAAGAGAACCGTGTCTCATCAGATACACTGTATGAGCGCTCGTGCCCCACTCCAGTATCTTCAGATCCGTACATGCAGCAAGTGCGCCGAGGGCACGGCTCGAAGACCTGTCGGTCAGAAGCTAGCAACGGATACGGCGAAGTTGACGTCGACAATCTACACCTATGTGGACGAGCCGTACTGAACAGGATTTGGCGTAGGGGAAGCGAAGATTACTCCGTCTGCAACAGATGAGATCTGCTTCTTTGTTGACTAGGCGGCGGACTTTGAGAAGTCTTGTGTTGTGTTTTGTTCTGAGTTGAATTTTGTTCACCGCCGATGACAACTTGCTCACCTTCGCTATAAGCTTATTCGTAGATACTCACACGATCTCCGCTGGCAGCTGTAGAAAGAGTTCGAAGAGGCTTAGCTCGCTAGGCTTGGCTGTCACTTTCTCTCCCATTCTCGCCATTTGTTGAAAGCAGAAACTCCGAGATCAGAGACCAACAGATGGTTAATATACGTGCTAAGTGACGGTGATGTTGTTCTTTTTATCATGCTTCTATCCAGTGTTTGCTCTCAGGTCAAATGTTGCGCAACAGTAGAGTACTGACTCCGATCTGTGACGGTGTGGGAGCCTTGATAGATGTATGGATATTATATGGAGGATTGATGAGATGTGTCAATCTATCGAAAGCCTGTATCAACCTATTCCATCTCAACTTAATGAGAACCGGTGCCAAGACCACTTATGCCAGTGTTATTTTCTTGCATCAGATTCTGCCCATCAAGTCTCCGGCACTGCAAGAGCTGTCTTGAACAATCAGCACAGTATAGTGCATGCTTGTTGTCAGCGTGACGTGAGGCTTTTCGGACCTTCCTTTCTAGGCCCTTTAAAGTCTAGCTTCGCCAGCCCAATTCTCACAGGTGCTGACCACCATCTCTTGCAAAATGCGCTCTCAGCAATCTTGGCAGGATCGTCCTCGGGGCAGGATACCGTCAGGCGATAACAGCATGTTGAACATCGGTAGAGTCGGTTTTGACCGCTGGCGCTTAGTGTGCAATAAATCCTGTGGGCGGCGGCGATTTCCCGTGCTACCAGCAAGGACACTGGTTCAGTTGAAACTTTTTCATGCACCTGTATGCGGGAAATATCACACCCATGCAGGTTGCTTCCAACGGAGAGAATTTTGACCGGCGTGTCGAATGATTGATGTGCAGCTAATGCAAGGCGAGAAATCCGGCGTCATCATTGGTCCCACCTTCCCGAAGGTTGCATCCATCACAATGACCAATCAGCTGGCTGAAGCTAGCAAGTACATCGTAAAGCTTGCATGCTCTAAATCCTGAGACCCCAATGCCGGCCTGTCATTTGCTGTACTTCGCGCAGCCATTGTCACTCACATGAGGTGGGAGAGCCCAGCAATTAGGTACGAACTCGTAGTGGGGCGGACCGTTAATGTAGTAAATTTCGACGTCGTGCGATTGCTGTAAATGTTTCAACATCCCAAAAGGTCGACTGTCATTGATCCCCGAGTCCTCACAAGCAACGCAAGACGTGTAAACATCTTCTTGAATCTTGCAGTGTCATTGGCTAGGCTTTTCGCTGTTCCAGAAGGGCAGAAGCGCGAATGTTCGTGGTTGACATGGGTACGACGAGAATCCTAAATGCTTCCTGGAGCTGCCCTCAAGCTCGCCAAAGCACACCTGGAGAGGCCACACCACTTCTCCCGGCAATTGGCGTTGGTGCATAATGCGAACTTCACGTCCTCATTACTGATCGACACTCAGGCAAACGGAGCCTTCGGGATGCCTCGAAGCCTCGATCCTGGAGGGCTTGGGAGCGCCCAGAACAATTGGCTGGCATCAGAGCATTGAGCCGTGTTACTGCCTTTTCTCCGCGCGTTGTTGATAGTTGCTCCCTTTGCCGAAGGTTTGCGTTTGGAAATGGCTGGCCATCTCGAATCTGACTGGATAAGCAGGTCCGCGAACACATGAGTGATATCGGAGTGGCGTGGTGAAGCCGATCAAGATCAACAAGCTATGGGTGGACTGGCCATTAGCTCACCCAATGCACTGCCTTCTGTCCAATCGATTCTTAGTGCAGGACCACCGGAAGAGAAAGGATTGATGTAATGTCTGCACAAAGAAGACAAGATCAACATAATGAGTGGGGTTTCCCAAATGCAAAAGCCTCTAAAGATATGCTTCGACGAGTGAGATGCAAGGCCGGACACACGATCAATTTTCTATCCGAAAGATCTCGGAGAAAGCCACCTGGGCTGTGCAAAACCGAAAGGCTGACAGGGAACGGAATGATTAGCCTGGAGACAATACTAAACACCGAAGCATGCAACCCAAAAACCTCGTCGTTGATTGGCAGAAAAAGCCTCAAAGGTTGGATATCGGACAAAGGTGATCCTTCTGAAAGTGGAGACTCGGGTGAAAGCGTTCCCGGCAATTCAGAAGAGTAGTAGACTCGGTCACTTGATCATCTCCAAACCGTAGACACGGCTGATCATGCACAAGGCACGTATAGGGTCCTCCAGTGAGAGCACAGGGGCACGAAAACTCCACACAGGCCCCACACTTACTGGCAGCCATTTCACCTCATGTGACGCATTAGCAACAAGGAGCGTGCATGCAGCACAGTAATGTGACGACAGAGTGATGAAGTTGCATCTCCAACGTGCCGGGTGAGCGGCAAGAGGCCAAAGAGCTGATAAGTTTACGCCATCTCAGTGGACCTGGAGATGCATTCTGGAGTCTTGCCCCGCTTAAAGCTCGAAGAGCACGTTTCCTTTACCAAGCGGTTGGCTGTGAATGGCCGGTATCATCCTCCATGAGCTGAGCAACGAGCCTCAGAAAGCCCCTCAGCACGCGTGTAAACAACGTGCATGGACGTGAGATTGTTGATCGGCAAACTCCGACCGTAACGGGCCAGAAGTGGCCAGAACGACTGGGACATGACTCATACGAGTGGTTGGGGTTGGACTGTGGTGACGCGCTGATCCATCCGTGTTGTTTTCGTCTTCGAGGAGAATCGTGAACGTCCAGCCAGATCACTTGTAGTATTCCTGAAACATAAATACCGCGAGAATCTCCTCAGACGTCCTTTTCTGTAGCTACCGCTCAGCTTCCAAATTCTTCAGCTATTTACCACCATCCCATCCATCTACCCCTTCCAAACGTCAAACTTCACACGTCTCATGAGCTTGACATCTATTCTTGGTCAGCTAGCAACTTTGAATTGAAGCCAACGATCCGTCTGACAATATCTTGGGTAGCACCTCGAAACAGAAAACCTTCGACGCCGCGCAACATCAGCCACTCAGAATCTTAGATTCAGGAAGACAATAAAACAGGTGAATTCAAAGCTCCGTCTCCTCTTTTGGCAGCAGTTCTAACACAGGAAAAGAAGCGCCAGGATGTGCTTTTACGACCAGCATCGATTCGCCTGCGGCGATTACAAATGGGGCCATTTCAGGCAACACTGCAACCGAGAATACCGCACAGGTGAAACATGCGGCTCCAAGCTTGTCATGACCACTTCGCAGCTCCAACAGAAGTGTAGGATCTGCGACAAGCTCGAAACAAAAGAACGGCGCCGCAAGCAGGAGATTGAACGCATTAACCGCTGGAAGAAGGAGGGGCGCAAGTTTTCGGCATCCATTGAGAGGTCTGAGGGGATAGTCGAGCAGCTAGAATGCGAATTGAGGAGCTTGTTGAGCGAGAGAGCAATGAGACAAAGGACCACTCGCTGATAGTCCCCATGAAGGGGCTCTTCTGATACCAGCTTGAGACGCCAATGGTCGAGCAATCGCTAAGATGTATTCGTGCTTTTGGTAAAAGAGACGCAACAAACAAACACATACATAGTCTTGAATGAAACGGATACTATTTCTGGAGATCTTGGAGCCTCTCTATTTGTCGGAATTGTTGATCTCACCATGGCTGAGACGGGGTGTAGCCGCCCGAGTTTGCCTTTCCCGTTGCCTTTCCCGTTGCCTCTTGTTGGATGCTCGACTGAGGCGTACCCTTGCCTAATCTTTCGACCTTGTAAGGCTTCTTTTTAGTAGTCTGCAAGATGCGAACGATGAACAGAGCTTCAGCAAGCTATATGCTAATGCAACAGATGGAAGCAGTGTGTTGGCATTGATGAGTTGTTGTAGAGAAAGAGGGGAAAGCGCGCGGAGGTCCATCAGCCCTATCAAGACTAGCGTTCATTTTGCGACTAGCCCCTTTTCCTAGACGCTCTCTCGTGTTCCTACCCATATTCACACAGCTTGCATCGCAGGACAATTTGAAGGTCCTGTTTAGTATTGAGATCGGAAACCTCAAAGGCATGGAATTCTAATGCTGATAGTCGTTCCAGAGTGTACTGAATGGCCCATTTCCCTCTCGCCTTCTACGTCTCAGCGGCAACAATCACTTATGTCCAGCATACTACCCAGTGTCTTCTTCTTCCGCCTTTGCTAGACCATGCTCTTGCAATAGCGTCGTTATCTCATCTGCACCCCAGAGATGGTGGTACACCTTCCCATCCTTCGTCTTCCCAACAGTTGCAAATTCAACTGGCAGTGACGTTAGCCCACGCCTATGGCTTGTAACAGCGGTCCTGACTACTCACTCTTCTCACTAGTCAACTTGGTCGAGTCCATCGTCTTGCTCAGAACCTTGACAGCCAAACCGCACGCCTCCTTCAGATCACACTCCTCCTTGTAGTCCTGCTTCAACAAACTCTGGGCACTGGCATTGTTTGCTCCAACACTTGTTGCTTTCCATCCTCCGTAGTTACCGCTAGGATTACTTTGGTACAGCTGGAATTGACGTTGAGGGTCGTAGCCAGCATAGATGAATGAAACACCGAAGGGCCGAAGACCACCATGTTGCGTATATCCTTGCTTGAGATCGCATAGACGACGTACCAGCTGTTCACAAGGTATGTCTTCGTTGTAGGTGAGGAGATATCTCTGGGCGGCTTGGCGGGCGTAGTTGATGAGAATGTTGGCGTCGGCGGTCATGCCTGCTACAGCACATATCATGTTGCTGCAACACGGCTTTTAGTCTTTGTACCTGTTCAGCCGCAGATATTATGATTCTGTACTCATTTAAGATATAGAGCTTCTCTGCGGAAGTATCTTGCTCCAGCAGCTTGCTTGTAACTTTCCTTTCTGCAGCCAGTACGATTCCATCTGTCGACAGTATACCAATAGCTGTACCAGCATGCGAGATAGCTTCAAGTGCGTATTCGACCTGATATAATCGTCCCTCGGGCGAGAAGATGGTCGTCTAGAAGCTTGAAGATTAGCTTTGAATCTTGCACCACGGCGCGACGTGAACGTACCCTTGAATCGTATCTTCTTGACATCTTGACAGCTTAGCGAAAGATTACTGAAGTTCTACTGCAAACGCTGATGCAAGTCTAGGTTGTATCGTTGTTGCTCGACTGTTTCTAAAAGTACATTATACCTACCAGGCTCTCAAGCTTCACGCGTTACGCCAAGACCCAGCTTCTAGCGGTACTCGGGTATTTTAGTATGCCAACAGTGAAATATTGATATGTGCACTCAAATTCTGGAGCAACCTACAATTATACAAAAAGGCCTATATCTGCTTTACGATGGACGAATTTGCCCAGACCCGTGGAGCAGATGATCTTTTTGATGATGACTTCACACCAGTTGACGCACCAATCTCTCAGACCGTTGGATTCGCTCCTCCACAGCGACACCCACAGCCTCAACGCGGCGGCCGCAATGAACGAGCAATTCGTGGATATGAGAATCAAGTCCCACGTCAACCACGTCAGCCACGTGCACAACCGCAATCCTCACCTTCAGAACTAGTGGCTTTGGAGCCTTCCAATGACAACATAGAAGCCTCTTCAACCAACCAAAATACTCCTCCCCAAAATGAGACAGACCCTGATTCCACCCCACAACCACAGCAGCCGAGACCCCCTAGCGCCGTCCGCGGCGACCGCACTCTCACCGGTGGTACGCTTAAGCCTAAGCTCACCGAAGATGAACTCTCAGCCCGTATGGCCGCCGCCAAACTCAACAACGCCAAGCGTGCAGAAGCACATCGCCTAGCCGAAGCCGACGAAGCGAACTTCCAGCAACGAGAGGCACAAGCATCTCAGAAACGGAAGGAGGAAGGGGTTGCACGCCGGGTGATGAACCAGGAGAGAGAAAAGAACAGGATGAGGAAGCTAGGAGCTCAGGGAGGGAGGGAATGGGATGAAGGGAAGGCCGAGCAGGAGCCGGAGAGGGGGAGTCAGTATCGGAGGGGTGCTCATGGTGGCGTCGCGTATGACACCACGTCTCCGAAAGGTGGACATCAGGACCGGAAATCTGGCGAGTTCCACGAGAGAAGAGAAGGGTTCGTGCCAAGGGGAGGAGGCAGAGGACGAGGAGATCGAGGGCGAGGTGGTAGGGGACGTGGGGGCTTTGCTCTCAACAGAGTTGCTCAGCAGGCAGCGCCAGACCCTGTGAATGATTTTCCAGCTCTACCCACAGCATCCAAAACCCAAGAACCCACTCGGGAACTGCCGCCAGCTCGACCGGCAGCACGTAAAAACGAAAAACCCATTCAGCAGCTGTCTTCGGGCAAGGTCACACAGAATTTGCAGCCCGCAGCTGAAGGCGAGAGCTGGGCAGATCAGGTCGATCTGGTCCAGGACGCGAAGGCACCGGAAGGGGAATGGTAATGCAGCAGTTTGCATTGAATCAAATTCATGGTCAATAGACCTGGCATTTGCATTAGTGAGCGGGCCGTCTCAAGATTCTTGGTGTCTGGGCGTTATGGATTGCTTGGTGGACAGCTTGGTGCAACTAATAGATACCCAAGGCACCCATTGAGAAGGGGCTAAGCTGATTGCACACATACGTGCACTTCTTGTGATGCTTCAAATGCTCTCCTATTCGAGACTGCGAGATCCACATGCAAGAGGGTATCCTCCCTCCGAACGCCTCGCTCAAGAGATAAGCAAGATACAAAAGTGCTTTACACCAACGCTTTCCTTCACCAGCGGCCTCTCCCTCTAAACCCTCCCCCCCTGAAGCCCCCACCGCCTCTGAACCCTCCTCGGCCACCACCAAAGCCACCCCTATCACCACCCCACCCCTCGTCCCTGGGTGGTCCCCTATCCGCCTCCTCCCTCTGCGGCGGCGCCCTCCCCTTCAATTCTTTCTGCAGCCCCTCCCATGTCTTCCTCATCTGCGCATAGCCTAAATGCATCTTCCCATAGAAGTGATCCGCCAATCTCCTATCATTATCTAGTCGACTCAGATACGCGCCACACACATCACAGACCTGCAGTTTCTGGTGACCTGAAGGCCCGGAGGTGTCGGAGAGCGATTTCAGTTCTCGTTCTTTTTCTTCTTTGGCGGCTTTGGCGGTGCGGATTTTATGGTGTTCGAGAACGGCGAGAGCGATGGACGAGGATTCGCCAAGGATTGCGATTTCGAGAAGGCCAGTGTTGATGGAGTGAGTCAGGTCGGATATTTGTTTAAGCTGGGAGGAAGTATCAGCATCAAATCTTAGCAAATGTCACCTTGGGGAGGATATACGAGATCGTTGGTCTGCCTAATCTCATCCGGCGTCTTCTCCAACCGCCTTTGCGCGGCATCGATCCTTCTATTGCACTCATCGATGTACTTCTGCATATCTCGCATATAGTCGTACTCGAAGCCGTGCTTGCTCTTGTCGGGCGAGGCTTCATACTCGGACTTGAGAGGTTCACTATGGACCTTGGGGCAGGGACCGAGATCTTGCTTTGTGTTCGTGAAGAGGTCATGCGGACATGTGCCGACGATATAAGAACGGCAGACCTTTGGATCGGTGATAGAGAGCTGTGCGTGTCGTGAGGAGGCGCCGGCGCCCATGAGCTGCTCTGTGAAGTAATGGATCAGTAGATGTTGCAGAGAGTGGTCTTTGAAGCGCGTTTCTGGGTGAAGAGTGCTCATGCAACTTACCAAGCAGCTTCCGCTGTTCTGCGGCCATAATTGAATATGTCAAATTTCAATCTGATGTTCAATCTTTTTTTAGTAGAGATGAGACTGGTTGAAATGAAGCAAAGAAACCTTGTAAACGTCAGCCCTATCAAAGTGCTAGCTCTGCTACGCGGAGGTAGCTTTCCTCTTCTCCCTTACCATGACAATGCAGCAATTGAGATGAAGGCATGAAACGCTTCTCATGTATCCTACTGTCTCTACTGCTTGGCCTGCTTGTTTCCGCTGATCCAGACTACAAGGAATTGCTTAATCTCCAGCCGCTAAATCCAGCATCACTGCTTGCTTCGTTCAACTTCTGGAGCAACGCTTCTTTGCAGTCGTACGAGCAGCAGCATTTCAAGTTCATACCTCGATCGCTTGGGCAAATACTACAGCATGCAAAGACGAGAGAGCTTCATTTGAGATTCACCACTGGGAGATGGGACGATGAGAGTTGGGGCGCAAGACCATGGGGAGGAACGAAAGAGGGAGGGACAGGGGTAGAGCTCTGGGCTTGGGTAGAAGCAGACTCGGATGCTGGGTACGGAGAAAAAGTTGAGGTAGATGAAAATTGACTGACTCAGAGGCAGTTCATTTGCTAGATGGGTCACCCTCAATAACGCTCTTTCGGGCCTGTTCTGCGCTTCGCTCAATTTCATCGATTCCACGCGGACTACAAGACCTCGCATGACATTCGATCCGGCCAGCAGTGTTACTGATGCTTCATCGGAAAGCCTCTTTCTTTTGCATGGCACTTTGCCTAGAGAAGTCGTCTGTACAGAGAACTTGACCCCTTTCCTGAAGCTGCTCCCATGCAAGGGCAAAGCTGGGATAGCAAGCCTACTGGATGGGCACAAGCTCTTTGACGCTTCATGGCAGAGTATGGCTATCGATGTACGCTTGGTATGTCCAGAGGACCGATCTGAATGCAGCATTGAAATGGAGCAGACCGTGGACATGGTGCTGGACGTTGACCGGTCAAAGCGGCCTCGAGGTATGATGGGTAGTTTCATCTCACGACTAATTCACTGTTGACGCTCGAAGATAATCCAATCCCACGTCCAATACCTAGCGAGAACCTTCAATGCGACCAGTCCAAGCCATACGCTGGCAACGAAGCTTGCTACCCTTCAGATGCCAACCTCGGGCAGTCGTGGACTCTAGCCGAGATATTCGGCCGCCCAATTCAAGGCTCCTGTCTCGCCGGAGACCCTCATAGCCAGCTTCGCGACTCAGTCTGCATCAACATACCGCACGAGCGTGAAGTCAATGCTTACGGAGACGTGGTTGAAACCAAAAACGCAGCAGGAACAAGCAGATGCTTCGCCATACCGGCATCCAAACCTTTCGAAATTGTGCTCTCACACATAGGGCCGCAAACCTTCAACGATGTCTCCCAACCATCTCTTCACGCCTCGCGATCCTTCACAGGCCACGGCCAAGAGCGCGGCGGTGTCCAGACTCTTCTCACCAACCCTTCCACAACCTCATCCATCGAATTCGTCTACTTCGAAACCCTCCCTTGGTTCATGAAACCCTACCTCCATACCCTTAGCGCCCGCCTCGCCACCTCCTCGATCACAAGCCCCGACATAATACAAGAGACGTTCTACCGCCCAGCCCTGGACCGCCGGCGCGGCACCCAGCTCGAACTTCTTGTCTCTGTCCCTGCGGATTCAACCGTCATCCTCACCTACGACTTTGACAAAGCCATTCTTCGCTATACCGAGTACCCTCCTGACGCCAATCGTGGATTCGATGTCGCGCCTGCTGTCATTCGACTGTTGCCACCCTTCGGAAACGAGTCGTCGATCTCTCAAGCACCCGTGTATATCCGAACAAGCAGTCTCCTTCTTCCGCTACCGACCCCGGATTTCAGTATGCCTTATAACGTAATCATCTTGACAAGTACGGTAATGGCTCTGGCATTTGGCATGATCTTCAACCTGCTGGTGAGAAGGTTCGTCGGGGCTGACGAAGTCGAGGGTTGGAATCTGGCAGCATTGAAGGCGAAAGCTAGGGGAAGGGTGACGGTCTTGCTGGACAAATTACTAGGGAAGGGGAAGGAGAAGAAGATACAATAGTGAGTAGCTAGGACATACAAATCGCGGTCGTTCAAAAACTATTTGGTACGACTCCAGATGGTGATTTCCTTATAAAAGTGAGCACTTGTCTCTGAAGCAATTATTGAAAAGAAAATCCGTTTTGAATCTCAACTAACTGCCGAATGAAGAACCGCAGTTTATGGAACTATTTACATTGAGAGCAGCTACTCTCTTCGCACTGTAGAGTACCGAAACAGCCTCGATCTCGACTTCTGCTAGACTGAATCCATTTTTTCATACCGCGCGAGATGAACCTCAATGCCGAAATTGCTCCGTCTATGCAATTTTCCCTTCCTTCGCACCGTACGGAAGGAGTTTGCATGAACAAGTCTACGCAATGACCATCCACGCTAGCCTGTGAAGTACTCTGTCCAACATCATCCCCTATACTCATCACCAACGATAACAAGCTTTCAAACACCAGTGGACTCCGTAGCACCGGAAGCCAGTCCAGCGAGCTCGACCTCATATCCCAAACGGATGATTTCCGTCCCGAAACGTAGAAAGTCCTCGCGCTTTTCCGCACACGCCTTCGACGTCGACGTCGTAACATGCGTACAAATCCAGCTCGAAACACGCACCATATACCTCGATCCATAGTGTCTCGCATTTATAATGTCTCGCGAACGTTCTACTGCGTACCACTCTCGCCCTTCTGCAAACGCTTCACAGTCAGCAAGCCCTTCAACATAGTTAAATCTTCCCTCGCAGCCGGTACATTCTGCAACAGTTCCCTGATAACAAGGAACTCCGGCACACCCATCGCGACACCCGAGCTTGGGGCTTCCTTTAGGAGCTCACTCACCACGGGTGCACTTGCCAACTCGCCGAGCGCCTGGCGCGCGGCATCGATACCTGTTACCCCTACGCCTCCGTACTGTTGTTGCTGTGGTGGGTAGGGTGATGGATGGTGGGGCGGCATGTAGGCGTGTTGAGCTTGAGTTGGACTGCTCGCATATGGGGGCAGGTGTTGGGGAGCAGCGAAGGCGGTGGGAGAATGTTGGAAGCTTGGGTGTTGGCCCATGTTGGAGGCTTGAGCGCCGCTGCCACCGATGGGGCTGGCAATGGAAGCGGCGTCGTTGTGGCGAGGCGTCTGTTGAGCGGAGGGTGAGTTATTGAGCTTGACTGCGAAGGTGAGGAGGAGTGTGCGTTCAGGCCTGGGGTCTTCGATGATGCAATATTCAAGCATTTCGACAAAATCTGGCTTTTTTCCTGCGCCAGCATCGAGTGTGACGACATATGTATCCTTGACAGAAGAGACCGGACTTTTACCGATAACGCCATAGCGTTTGCGCTCAGTGAAGTAGGTGAAGAGCTTATCGAACTGGACTTGGGACTCAGCGTCTGAGTTCGGAGTCACAGCTATGACAATAACGTCTGTTGTTGTACTCCATTTGAGACTGCAGAGGTATTCTTCAGCGCGATCCGTAGAGATTCGGCCTTCGATGGTCAAGGAGCTTGGTATCAATGTATGCCAAGGCAGGGTAGCGCTGAGATCAGCCCCTGCAACGTGTCTTCCAGTGCCATGAAAGCTCGCAATGCCGGCCATAGCCAGCTTTCCATGCCAGATAGTAGAACCTGGTTCCGCGGTGTAGTCAATTGGCGAATATGGTTCTTCGTCTTCAGGCTCTTCATCCTTGAGAAGCTGGTCGATCTCCGGATCAGCTTTCACTCCCGATCCTTGCGCTTGCTGGATTATTGACTCTGAAGGTCTCGAGGCTTGGCGCGTACGCTGAGTTTCAGGATCCGGGCCTTTAACGCCTTGCCACACTTCCTGGATGTTGAAGTTGTTGGCTGATTTCCGCTCTGGAGCAGCAGACGCCCGTGGTTCGGCGCTTGTATCGACCACTAACGGCTGAGCGGTGGTGGCGGACCCAGCACCAAAGTTCTCTGGAAGCTCAACGGCAGCAGGACTTTGCGGGTTTTCGATCTCTGGACTCGCCTGCTTGGCGATGCTGGAGTCGATCTCCGAAGGCCTCTTCCTCAATGGCGCTACGAAGGCCGAGTCCATGCTGTCAGCAATATGAGATTCATCTTCAATAAGCTCCTCTCCTTTGTGAGTTCTCCTCATCCTTGGCCCCTCCTCTTGGATGAGCACATGTTGCTTCTCTGCCTCTTTCAACATTTCCTCCTTCATTTCTTGTAGCTCCTCGCTTGCCATGTCTTTTGGTTCCATTCTGGAGAAGTCGCTGGGTGAGAGTGATCCACTGAGCACACGATCTCTAAGGGAGGGGTTTTTTTTGGCGTTATGTGAGATCGTGCGGAATTTGTTGGCATATGCCTCAGGGGCTTTCCCAGTGCCAGACCAAAAATTCATAAAGATCGCTTGCTCTACTAGTAGTCCTAATTTATTACCAAACTCATCGACCTTCTGGCCCTTAGGCAAACTGAAAGCGCCTTGTTTCTCAGCTTGCTTAGTTAGATCCTTGAAGAGTTTGACCAAAGCCGTTGCAACCCTTTGCCGCTCATCACTTTGTAAATCAGAGGGCTGCTCAACAAGCTCCAGCTGTGGCTGGCCAGCTGTAGAATCTTTTTTTTTAGATGCCGGGGCGCCAGATTTGCGCCGAGACGGGGGAGGCAACGATGGCGTTTCGGTAATCGGACTAGTGATCTTGCGTGTTTTGCTCGGAGGTTCCTATGAACATATTAGTATGGAAAAAAAGGAATATACGCGTTTCGAACTCACTGCTTGACTGGGGCTTTGTGCTTCGGGAATGGGCTCTTCGGGCAGCTTTCTCTTAGTGCTTTCTTTTTTCTCTTCCGCCTTCTTCTCTTCAGGCTTCTTCTCTTCAGGCTTCTTCTCTTCAGGCTTCTTCTCTTCAGGCTTCTTCTCTTCAGCCTTCTTCTCTTCAGCCTTCTTCTCTTCAGCCTTCTCCTCGTCGACCTTCTCCTCTTGGGGCGGCTGTTCCACTTCGGCAGGCTGCTCGACCTGGGCTGGAGTGGGGTCGATGTCCATAGCATCATCGTGTATAGCACCATTCTCTTGTGTAATCTCCTTCTGGACTGCGCTCGGTCTGCCCGGTTTGCGTCCTTTCTTGCCCTTGCCCTTCCGTCCCTTCTTATTTTGCTCCTCGAGTTCACGCTGCCTCTGCCGCTCCTCCCATGGCTTCTCACCGCGCGCTAGTTGTGCCAGAAGTTCCTTGTGGTCTTTTGGGCGGCATTGCTCACAGTAATACTTTTCCGGTAGCTCATCATCATCATCTGACATTCCCATACACTCATTGTGCTGCCAGGCGTCGCAATTTTCGCAACATATCATCTTTCGTTCATCATCCTCGTCTTCCACCACGTAGCCGCAAATGCAGCGAATGATGGCCTGTTCTTCTTCTTCCTCGGGTGGCGGTGTTGGCTCGTTCTTTTTGGACTTGTTGCCTTTTCCACCCCGTTTTGGAGGCGTTGGGACATCTTCAGGCTCGAGAGCTCTGCTATGCTGGCCTTTCGTAGCTCTTCCTGATCGTCGCGTGCTATCTGTAGGACGCGAGTATTAGCCAAGACTTTGTTTTGGGAATGGGTGGGTCGTAAATATCATCAATAATTCAGAATTATGCTTACCTGCCATCTTGCTAACACACTAGACAATCTACTGCAGCTTTGAGGGCGAAATGGCTTATGTGGTCCACACGTGGGTGTGGATCTCACAGCTAATTCTAGGTGACTGAAGAATCGCAATACACAAAATGTGACAGAACACGAATTGCGCCCCACAGCCGGATCAAATCACTTCAACCCAAATCTGCGGACGTCCTTCCTACCAGCACCTGCGAAAGAAGCTCACTTCAAGCGACTCCAACCTCAGAAGCTGGCACCGAAATTTCTGGAATCAAGATTTCAGAAGTGACCGTGCGCCGTGTCTTTGTAGCCGTCGCACTTTGTCGTATGATTAGTGCTCTATCAGAATAGGATAGCAATGTCTTGTATGATAAGATAGCGACGTGATCGAGGGGCGGTATTTGCGAATGAGCAGAACGGTGGATGGTGGAGTTGAGCTTGTTTGTATGGGACTGGTGCCGGGACTTCAATTTACCCGGCAAAAAGGTCACATGATCAGCCCTGCCATGTGCCTCCGGACCAATCAAAATAGACCTCGGCTTCCGCAGGATTTATCAATATTTGCTGGACGGAGCACAGGTCATCACAGCCAGATATGCTCTTTAGCTGACCGCTACTTGCGTAGCAAGCTTCTAGCTTCTTCGCCATGGCAGACGTCCGCTCCCTCCTCCGCAATGAACGCGCTCAACGCCGAATAAAACACCCCCAAGCCTCATACTCAGCTACAGGTACCTTAGAATGCGCCGTTTGCCATATACCACTAAAATCAGACGTCGAAGTATGGGACAAACACCTCAAATCTACGCAGCACGCGATGCGGCAAGAACGACTACGATTGAGCACATCCCAACGCCCAAACAGCTCCAATCGACCAGAAAGAGCTGGAGAAGCAAGCAGTCGAGAAGTTAGCGCAGGAAGCAAGAAGCGGAAAGCAGACGATGGGGACGATGACTCGCGGAAGCGGACGAGGCCTGTCGTAGACGTACCTGGAGGCTTCTTTGACGAAGCCATCGAGGCCAATAACGCGAATACCAAGCCTGTTATTGAAGAAACGAACCTGCCATTGGAACGAGACGCAGTCACGAAACCACTCCAAGGCTTCGTCCGTGCGAACGGTGCTCCTCCAAACCTGGCCCCCATAAATCCTCTCACCAACCCCACAACCCAGCCGTCAGCAGCCCCCATTGACGAGAACGAATGGGCAGCCTTCGAACGCGACGTCGCTACTCCACCTCCAGATCCCTCTGCTCCCACTGCTCTCACAGCTGCTGCAACTATCACTGCTGCGCCTATGACCGCAGCCGAACTAGCAGCACAGTCCCGCGAGCAAGCCAGTTTGCAAGGCAGGGAAAGAAGAGAAGCGGAAGTGGAAGGGGAGAAAGAAGATGCCGCTAGGGCGCTGGAGGACGAGTTTGATGAGATGGAGGGGCTTGAGGAAAGGGTCAGACGGTTGAGGGAGAAGAGGGAGGAGTTGAGATTACGGAGGGCCAAGGAAGCTAATGAAAGGCTCGAAGACGGAGCGAAGGACGAAGAGGGCAAGCGTGCTGGCGGGGTGGAAGAGGATGAAGAAAGTGAAGATGAAGAGGACGATGACGGATGGGGTGCTTGGGGGAGGTGACACGTAACGTTGAGGATTTGATGTTCAATATGATAGTGTTTTAGCGGGTCTTTGACCACACGTCACAGTGACGATCTTATGGAATGGTATAATTTACAGGTGTATCAACTGAGGTTTTGCTCATGAGCGGAAATGAACATCGGATCTGATCTCTCATCTGGAGTCACTGCTGCGGCTCATGGCTTTGCTGTGATAGATAATCACTCCTCTTCCGCCATGTGTCCCAGTAGCCCTTCTTTTCCAACTCTCATAGCTCTCTGAACTTCCTCTTCGCCCTCGCGTAGCATACCCTTGCTGTATCTCAAAGCGCCGTTCTGCCTTCTCTTCTCTCCTTGTACCTGTCTTTGGCGCTCCGCCAGCGCCTCTTGCCTTCGCTGACGCTCCTGCCTCTCTTTGGCCTGAGCTTCTTGCTCTTCGAGTGAGATCTCAACTTTGGTCGGAGCGGGTGGCAAGGTAGATATATGTGCTTCTATCAATGGGTCTCGGATGGCTGGTCGTAGTGAGATGTAGCGGAGATCTGTCAGAAGGGTCGCTGGCAGGGCGTGGATCGTGATAGATTCGTTGAGTGCGTAGAGTGGAGTCGACTTCAGTAGCTTAATTAGGTCGGATTTCAGAGTGACTTCTGGAAGTTTGAGACGGCTGATATAATCGCGATACCATTTCTCCCGATCCTTGTCAGAAAGCTTGTTGTTGTGCATCTCAGGCTCTTTTTTGTACTTCCTCCGAAATTCAGGCCAGTAGAGCTTAGGCGTAGCATTCTTCTGCAAGAAGGCAAAGTATGGTATCTTCGGGTCCTTCTTCTCTTCTTTCTCTCGCTGTTCCTTCAAGCGTTGAATAGTATCCCGAGTCCATTCACCCCATACCTCCTTCCTCGATCGCATGTTTGGCAGTACTGTATAACGCTCTTCCTCCACGATATAGCCGGCCTCGATGACCTTCTCCCAAGTCGTATATGGACTGATCCCCTGGTCACTCAACATATCCTTGAACAACGCTTTTGCATCTTCTTCAGTCAGAGCCAAGCCTTCGGCGCCTTCTACCAACTCCGCGCCACCGCCGTCACCATACTCGCCCGGATCCAACCCGTAGTCTTGGCCCATGGCAGCAAGTTGAAACGCTATGTCGTCTTCATTAAATTCAACCGCTTGCTCAATGTTCTCGTCTTCTGTCTTTTGACGCTTGGATGGATTTTCAACGTCCTCGTCATCCGTGACTTCGACCTCCTCGTACTCTTCGTCGTCGCTATCTAATGCCTGTCGGTCCGTCTGTTGATTGGTAGCAAGGCTGGTTACCGGCGCTGGAGCCGCCGTTGGAGTTCCATTTGCAGCTGTTGCTAGCACGGTCTCTGCTTCAGCTTGCTCTTCATCTTCCATGTCGCCGCTCTCGCCGCATTCTTGTCTGGTCCTCTTTTCCCGTTCCTGCCTGTCAAATTCGGTCAGGCTTGGCAACACATTCGAAGGAATCCTCCAAAAGCTCTCATTCTTCTCAGGATTGTACACAAAACGTCTTCCAAGCTTCGTCTTCACCAATACCCATGGTTCGCATCCAGGGATATCGTATTTCGACTTGGATCTGTCTTTCGGTTGAAGCTTCTGTTGGTTGGCGTGTCCTCCTCTGCTACCCCCGCTCCCGCGATAATCGATTCTATTGCCATGTGGATGATTGCCAATGCCTCCAAACGTGGGAAGACCTCCACTGATGCCAAACGAATTGTTTAAACGGTGTCCGTTAAATGAAAGCCCTGTGATACCGTTCGGAGCTTGTTGCGAATACCGCACAGCGGGCTGCGGAGCCTGCGAAGGACGTACATATGTAGATTGTTTGGTCAAGTCATGGTGATAGTAAGCCTGGCCTAGGTCCGGCGGTAAGTTTTAGCAAATTGCTACACTTCATATTTGGGGGAGCAAGTTCAAAAAGCAGCTCTTGGATGTGACTTACCCGTAGGAGCTTTGTGTTCCGTCCACCCTTCCGGGAGGGGCGAAGGTTCCAGCCTAGCGGCGGGCTTGTGAGTTGACTTGAGCATGTGCGCTGCGGGCTAGTAGTTTGAATTGAGCCTGAATGTGACGAATCTCTTCTAATTGTGCGTAAAAGGGCTCCACTGAAGGGTGGTCCGGTTGTAGCAAGTACTGTTCTGAGCTGGTGAGAGCTGCCCACGGATTCGCGGCAACAGTGGTCAGGATATCGTCAGTAGGGGTAAGCTTTGGGTGCTTTGCCCTTTCTCGAGCAGTCAACCGCGGAGGTTTTGTTGCAGAGGGATCTACTACTGCTGTGGTAGCATCGGCGTGTTCAAGCTTGAGTTTTGCTCGAGCTTCGCCAAGCGATTTCTGAGCAGCGAGCTGTGAAGATGTTTTGCTGAGATGTTGTTGCTGTGACGAAGCAACTGCAAGCCTGGGAACTCCTGTGCTGTTCATCTTTAGCCGAGCAAGGAAGGATCAAGCGAATACGCGCGTTGGTGGCGGTGCACAAGTGTGAGGAAAGATGGGGCCAAATAAGCTTGGCAGTTCTCAGCCCTATGTGTAAAGCTTCACCAGCAAGCATAGAAAATCACATAAATTCACATTAGATCACATCAATTCTCGGTTTCACAGAGTCTATTGTCACTCAGTTTGGGCTCTCTATTTGTCTCTGTAGACGGGCTCTATGCAGCGGAGCTATCAAGCATTTGGGGTCTAGCAAAGCCCAGTACATTACAAGAACACCCAAACCTTGTTCTTGCCTGATACTTAGGCACTCATGACAGTACTTGAGCCAAACTCCAAGCAGACTCTGTGCTGGATTTGTTTTTTTTTTCTAGGGCCGCGGACCAGGATCACGTTTCCCAGTCTCCCATTTGATGCACACATCAAAGCCAGCGAGCGGGTGACATTCGCAGCTCTCTCGGTCTAGCGCCTCATGATTTGGAGGTTTCAGAGGAGGCATTGCCTTTAGCGTCGCTTTGGCTCTGGTGGCTATCATCTTCAAACAGATGATGTTCGTTGATGTAATCAATGACCTGTTCTTGCTTTCAGTATCAACCCTACTAGGCAGAGGGTTTCCGCACTTCAGCAGGGATTAGATATCTTATGGACATGTTCCTTCTTTTGAAAAGCCGCACCTATTACGGAAGTCAGCAACCCTACTTGCTTATATGATGTGAATGTCTCGCTTACCTTTGTACTGGATACATCGTTGGTGACTAATTGATTGACGACCCAGATGTTCTCTCGCCATTGCTTTTTTCTAGTCAATGATCATGCTAGGATGTGGCTCAACAGATATAGCCATGCTTACTGAAAGAGTCGCCAAGGAGTCTTCGATATCTGTCCCTGCCCTTTCGACTACTAGAGCACCGTACCGTGTCAAGATGTGATCCAAGTCTTGGTGTGACCACACTCCTGGCGTGGACTTGAAACATTGTTAGTACCATCCAAGAAATAATTGAAGATGCTTGCCATGGTCTGAATGAGATCTGGAGCAATGTTCAGCAATAGTCGATAGCTTCTTTGGGGAAGAACGCTCACCCGCGCCCGCCAAAAGAATTATGCGTGCATGCTTTTTTTCACCATCCACAGTTGTGACCCCTCCTCTTAGGACATTGATCTCATTTTCGGCATGGTCCAGTACTATAGGTATTTGAGCTAGACCCAGCCGAAGTAATCATGGAAGTCTTACCATTGGCTGTAGGCTGATACCTAATGCAAGTGTCAGCGTGGCAGACTTTCATTGACCATCAAATGTTACTCTTTCTGCATGACTTCCCAAGGGTCCACCATGACAAACCCCGAATTCTGCGACCATTAAGCTGATGGCATGAGAAGTAGATCAAACATTGTCGTGACGCACCTGACATGCTATCTCACACATGTTCAGTCGATGCTCTGCGCTTGCAAGTCCGGCCTGAACCCATGGATTAGTAATGCCGCTTCAACCCTTATCCGGAAGGGACCTTCTCTTAGAAGAGACCTACCTTTTTGTACGCATCGCTCACTGGTGAAAGATAGCCTGCATAAAATCCATTAACCCATTCGGGGTCGAATATTGCATATTGAACTTACCTCCTACGACTTCAAATTCCGTCCGGCTAAACTTAATGTAGTCGTTGGCCATTTCGAATAGACCTACATGAACTCTGAGTCAGCATATCTTCTCTAGATGTCCTATCACTCGATGGTCCACTTACGAAGATGGAGAAAAGTGACCGGAGAGCTGTAAAGACGTCAATGAAATAGATCATGGCGGTTTGAGTAGTGCTCCTAGACTGACAAGGAGCCGCATGCCATCAACACAACGGGTGTCTTGGCGGAATCACTCAATGTCTTGAGTCGGCCCTCAGGGAACGAGTAATTTGCGAGACTGGTGGTTGTCGCGGCAACGGCATGGCCATTGGGGTAGGCCACTCCATCCGTCTTCGGGGAGTCGCCCATACTTCGTATCTCAGAGCGGAAGCCCGGACTCGATTGAGTGTTGTTGACTTGTGCGAATCGCGGAACCCTGTGTTACCGGTCAGGGTTTGCAGTGACTTCGAGCACAACGTTTTCCGCCAAAAGTTCCGGAAGTTGTCGTTGGGGGAGTTATCTGCAGGAAAGTAGGATATTCCAAGAGATATCATAGGCCGTGTATGAGTATGTAGGAGTTTATGCCAATTTCGAGGACGGACTGAGAAACCCGAGTCATATGTTCGGCTTTGATAGGCAGAAATTGAGATTTTTCGATATTGGGCCAAATGATTTTGCGAATTCTATCCAAACCATGCGACTCTTTTCGCTGCCTGCGTATGATTGATTTGAGCAATGATTGCGAGGGTGATGGAAAAAGAAAACTTGAAGAATGTGAATACTCTACGTACTTGTAGTAATAGTAAGGCATCTTGTTGCATATCAGTTCCCGTGCAGGGTTCAAAGACTAGCGTTTTTCAATTTAGCCGAGGCTATCCAGGCGTACTTCATCCTTGCCTGCGAGCTGCGAGTTTTGCTGTCACTCTCACAGCATATTGGGCATTGACCATACCAATCAACATACCATACCTTAGCATCTACTTCACATTATCACTTATTGGATCTACATTCAACACACAAGTACCGCCACTCGCTAATGGCCCGCTAGAGCCGGACATGTATTTAAGGCTTGTGTAAAAGTCTTGCAAGATTCATCTCTCCGCTTATGGAGGGTTGAACCGCAAATGGTGCCAGCTCCTTCCTCCAAGTTCGAAGCCTCTTTCGACAACACCCCATCACATACTTCTTCCATATCTAGGTAGCTACACCTTCTTACCACTTTGATCATCCTTCCTTCACCGTCATTTCAAAACTCTACGAGTAGCAGCAACCGTCCCCCTCTCCCCGCACTATCAGACCTCCACATCATACATAGTTTCCGTCCTCTTGCAAGGGCTGCTTCAGCCGTCCACTGTACGCTCAAATTCTCATGTCTTCCAGGGTGACTCGCTCTGCAACGAAGCTTGCTGCAGAGTCCTCGCCGGTAGCAGCCACCCCCACGAACACCTCGGCCGCTGCTGAACCACGGCCTAAGTCCCGCAAACGCAAGGCTCTCCCAGATCGCGACTCTAGTCCTGATAAAGCAGCTGATACCAACAATCCTACACCTCCTAGACGAGCAAAGAAGCAAAAGCTAGTTGCCGAGACGTCGTCAACGCCAACGCTTCCAAGGTCTCGTCGGCGAGGCGCTCAGCAGCCGATCACCATGGCAAAACCAGGGTACGTTAGCCCTTAGTATTCGTTGAGAACATTCTGCTTATTTCAAGCAGTCCCTCATCAGGTAATACCGGTGAAAAGGAGAAATCTCCACCCACAATACCCGATACGTCTAGGCGAAAATCGAGTCGAAGCAAGAAGTCTACTCAAGGTCTGCCCCACCAGTCTTCTGCTTGGCCAAGAGCTAACCTTTAAAACATCTAGATCCAGAATCATCGTCATTACCTACTGCTTCCACGAAACGCTCAAAGAAGGCAACCACGAAGAAAACAGAGGACGTCGTGGCGAAGGGCCCAGACGAGACTGCAAATGATGACCCCAAACCTATCGTGGAACCTCCGAGGAACGAAGACTCCAGTGATGATGATGATGTTGACGGGGAAGCAACGGCCCGGAGAAGATTTGATGAGGAAGATGATGACGAGGGCGATCCGTTCCGGGGAGGCTACCTTGGTGGTAACGTACCACACGCCAGCATGTCGAGCACTTTACGTGCCTTGAGCGGCTACGTTTCTGGTGTGTCACAGCGGCTACGAGACATCCTGAATAATCTGAGGCAGAAGGATGACCCTTCCGTGCAACTTATTGCACTGCAAGAGCTCTCGGAAATCCTCCTTGTCTCAAACGAGGACAACCTATCAGGCCACTTCTCTCCCGACCAATTCATTAAGGAGCTGGTGACCTTGATGCGGCCAAGCGAATATGGAGAAGAAAACCCTGAGATGATGCTGCTGGCCTGCCGCTGCATAGCAAATCTAATGGAAGCTTTGCCTCCTTCGACAGCTAATGTCGTCTATGGTGGTGCTGTACCTATACTTTGCGAGAAGCTCTTGGAGATACATTTCATAGATCTCGCTGAGCAAGCCCTGAGTACGCTGGAGAAGATCTCTGTGGAATTCCCGTCAGCCATTGTCCGTGAAGGAGGTCTTACTGCGTGTTTGGCTTATCTCGATTTCTTCGCCACGAGCACCCAGAGAACCGCTGTGACGACAGCTGCAAATTGCTGCAAAAACATTCCGCAAGACTCCTTCCCCGTGATTAAAGAGGTCATGCCCGTATTGCTGAACGTTTTGTCAAGCAGTGATCAGAAGGTGGTAGAACAAGGATCCATATGTGTCTCGAGGGTTGTTGAGAGCTTCAAGTATCAGCAAGATAAGCTGGAGGAGCTTGTGAGCATTGATCTACTTAAAGCTATCCGTCGACTCCTGCAGCCTGGAACCACCAACTTGATCGGGCCCAACATACACACTCAGTTCTTGCGGGTACTCTCCATCAGCGCCCGCGCTAGCCCTCGCTTGTCTGCAGAACTTCTTAAGATGGGTATTGTCGATACTCTGTACCAGATACTGACTGGGATATCACCACCTAGTGGTCTCAAGGATGTGGCCTCCCAAATCGACAGTGTTTTCATCATGCAAGCTTTGATCCATCGTCCACGAGAACAAATCTCCGAGACCCTCAATGTCATATGTGAACTACTACCTGAAGTTCAGACCGAGAGGCTGTCTTTCCAAGAGGTTTCACATGACGCAGGTTTAATAGCTGACGGAACAATGTCGCACGTCGACCGCGCCTCTAGGAGCTCTCACAACTCCAAGCGAGTCGAACTGCTCAAAGGCTGCAAGGAAGAATTGAAGCGTTTCGCGATTGTTCTATTCCCTACACTCACTGATGCCTACTCAAGCACTGTCAACCTTGTTGTCCGTCAGAAGGTGCTATTGGCTCAGCTTAAAATGGTCTCAAATCTAGACGCCTCCATATTGGAAGACGCTCTTCGCACCGTACCTTACGCTTCTTATCTTGCATCGATACTTTCACAAGAAGATCACCCCTCGTTGGTGACGTCGGCCTTGAAAGCCTCGGATCTCCTTCTCAATCGGTTGTCCTCAATTTATGGCTACCAGTTCTATCGTGAGGGTGTTATGGCTGAAGTCTCCAAGCTCGCCAGCAAAACTATGACGACGATCGAGCATAAGCCAAAAGTTATCAGAGCAGATCCAAACACAGAGCCTACGGGTCTACAGCCTCCTGCTTCCAAAGCTCCCGCGGAGCAACCCAACGACAAAGCTGCAGTTGATGCGCCCTCTGAAGATGATAGTGACCATGGTGAAGATGACGAGGACGACGATGGTAACGATGATGACGATGATGAGGAACCCCGTGATATCCGTGAAGACATCTCACCCTCCCCGTCTGACTCTTCTTCGTCGAGCCAGAGCTACCCAATGCACGCTGTTGCCAGTGATCACGATCTCAACGTTCTTCGAGCCAAGAAGTTTCTAGAGGTTCACGAGACCGCAGAGGGCAAGACCATGCGTGACAGAGCATCCGCGATTTTGGGGGAGCTTACGAATCTTGCTGCCGATATCGAGAATTGCTATTCGGTTGACGAGACATGTGACGGAGCAGAACTCTTCACGAAGCTATCCAAACACTTCCAGGGAGACGCGTTGGAGACAATCACGAGCTCCGAGTTGCTACATTCGGAGATTGTTCATGTTCTTTTGGATGTTTTCAGCAGCTCTGCAGATAATATAAGCGCGAAAGCGAGAACAACATTCCTAGAAGTTTTCATGACCGCACCGACTCAGACCTCAACAGTTCAAAGCGTTCCACCAACGCCGTTCAGCGTCCTCGTCCACAAGCTTCAAGATCTACTCAGCCGTGCGGAACACTTTGAAGTAGTAACAGTGCACCACAACGCACTTGACAATAATCGTAGCAGTCCAGCTGCGATGCTATCAAAGCAACTGCGCTTGAAGCTCATGGCTGCTGACGACGATGCCGAGATGCCTAGGCCATACAAGAACCTCATGATCTCCATACACGCTATTGCTACTTTCAAGGCCCTAGATGATTATTTACGGCCGCGAATCAGTCTCTCGGATCGACCGAGGAGCGCTAGACATCGTGAAGGAGTTTCAAATGCTTTGGCCGCTTTCGCTGCTGCTGCTGGAATTCCTAATCCTCATCATAGGCTGGCAGAGCGGGGTGGCACAGCCACTGGGGATTCACCAGCTCATCCGACACCGTCTGATCCTGCTACACCAGCTCGAGCAACACGTAAAGGACCCAAATCCAAGAACGCACCGGCGGCTTCTGACTCAACTCCGGCGAAAGACAAACCGACATCTGCACGTCGGTCAAGCCGAAAGCATCAACCTGCGGATCATAGTCCGCCAGACGCGCCTGCTCCAGCTCCTGAACGAATTCAGAGCCCTTTGGAATGCGCAGACGAGAGACAGATCTCTGATGAAGATGATGTCGACGACAGCAGCGCCTTAGATGCTATCGTTGACGATTTGGAAGATGGTATAGAAGGCGAACAGGCACCGGAACCTACTGCAGTCAATATGGAAATAGCTTCAACAGGGAAGGTTACCGCTCGAAAAGAAGATGGGACACGGGTCGCAACTCCATCCCAAGGTTCTGTAGCATCGCTGCACGGTCCTCCATCCGCCCGTAGTCGAGAGTTGCTAGCTGCTGGCATCAATTCTTCTTCGTCAGGTCGTGCCATGTCCTACGCAGCAGCAATTCAAGCAGTGCCACAGGATTGGCATATTGAATTCAGCATCAACGGCCAACCGCTATCCAACGAAACGACTATCTATGGAGCGGTCCTCAACGATAAGTCAGAGCCCGCAGATCCTGCTCCGCGCAACATATGGTCTGCCATTCACACCGTGAATTTCAAGCGAGTACCAGGGCCTCCACCAGCCGAGTCAACCTCCCTGAAATCGCTCACTGGGGCAAGTGCTACGGCGGAATCCAGAATGCCCCCGTCTCTACATGAGCATCCAGCTACATCGACAATCCTCCGACTACTCAACATTCTCCACGAGATGAACGCTAATTTAGACGATGTCTTAGATGATAGCAAAGCAAGTGTAGATGTTAAAGCGGAACCAGTCGCTCAATTTGTCAACACTAAGTTGACAGCGAAGCTCAATCGTCAGCTTGAAGAGCCCTTGATCGTTGCAAGCAATTGTCTGCCTAGCTGGAGTGAGGACCTTGCACGTCTTTATCCATTCCTCTTCCCGTTCGAGACGCGGCACTTGTTCCTACAATCGACGTCTTTTGGTTATGCACGCTCGATGACTAGATGGCAAAATCAGTCAGCAGAAGAGAATCGACGAGAGCGACATCGTGATGATCGTCCATTCATGGGACGTCTGCAGCGACAGAAAGTCCGCATATCCAGAAGCAGGATGCTCGACTCGGCAATGAAAGTCATGGAGCTCTACGGTGGATCATCCAGTGTGCTCGAGGTAGAGTACTTTGAAGAGGTCGGGACTGGTCTGGGTCCTACGCTCGAGTTCTACTCCACAGTATCGAAGGAATTCTCAAAAAAGAGTACTAAGCTTTGGAGAGAGAACGACGCGAACGAGAACGACGAATATGCGTTTGGAAAGCTAGGCATGTTCCCCGCTCCTATGAATGCCGAGAAAGCAGATAGCGAAGCTGGCAAGAAGATCCTCAACGTGTTTAAGATGCTTGGCAAATTCATTGCAAGATCCATGCTCGACTCTAGGATCATTGATGTCTCCCTTAATCCCACCTTCTTCCGCACTGGTGATCAGCCTAGCACTGTTCCTTTGTCATTGGGAGCTGTAAAGACCGTGGACAGCCATCTTGCGAAGAGCTTGAAGCTTCTAAAGCAATACGCTATTGCTAAGAAAGAAATTGATGGAACATCTTACAAATCGGCGTCCCAGAAGGCCCAGGCCGAACGCAAGGTCGTCATCAATGGAGCTCACATCGAAGACCTCAGCTTGGATTTTACTCTCCCTGGGTATCCAGCTATTGAGTTGCTACCAGACGGTGCTAACAGGCCCGTGACTCTTGAAAATGTTGCGTCTTACGTGGAGAAGGTCATTGATATGACTCTCGGCAGCGGCGTGCAACGACAGGTGGATCATTTTCGACTGGGATTCTCGGAGGTATTCCCCTACACAGCTTTGAAGGCATTCACGCCGAGTGAACTGGTCATGCTGTTTGGCCGAGTTGAAGAAGATTGGAGTATCGAAACACTGCTTGATTCGATCAAGGCAGATCACGGCTTCAACATGGATAGCAAGAGCGTCCGCAACTTACTACAGACCATGAGTGAGCTCTCAATGCCCCAACGACGGGACTTTCTCCAGTTCGTCACTGGCAGTCCCAAACTACCTATAGGTGGTTAGTACACCCTCCTATCTGGCTGTGCGAGTTCTTCTGACTTTGATGCATAGGTTTCAAGAGCCTTAACCCCATGTTTACTGTGGTTTGCAAACCGAGCGAACCTCCATACACGTCTGACGATTTCTTGATCTCGGTGATGACTTGTGCGAACTACGTTAAGCTTCCGGACTACACGAACATCGATGTTTTGAGGAAGCGACTTCTGACTGCTATACAAGAAGGGCAAGGGGCGTTCCATCTTTCGTGATACCTGGCTGAAACCCTGAGCGTCTTTTACCTGGGATTGCAATTTGTTTCGGTCGCATGCATTTGAGGAGTGAAGAGACTGGGAAGAAAGCAATGGGTGCCGTATACCTCAACCACATCTTCTACCACTACATGGTGTCAAGATTGTCAGGCATGTTGCATGGGGTCCATAGACGATACGGTACTACCCATTTAACTGATGCGAGCGAAAAGGACCCGACTATATTGACTAATGCATGCACAAAAGACCCGACTGGTGTGCTGGAAACAATTTAAATTTCAAGGACCTTGTTAGCTTAAGTACGTAGATAGCTTACTACGCGACTCATGAAAGCTTCCTGCATCTTGTTCTTGTAAAACTTGCGATGAATACTTACCCTCTTGACGACAATGAAGAATTGAGTGCAGCGTAGGAAATCTGTAAAGTAGAGTATGGATAGAGATTGACACAAATTGCCTAGCTCGCGGGTAGCCAAGAAACCGGATTGGCACTCGTACCAAAATATCTCCTTTGTGCGAGACTGCTTTAGAGAAGTCGCTATGTGAGAAAGATTGTCTTGCTTATTCTCTATAATTTTGAAACCAAAGTCTTATCACGATAGTTTAACCACAGGGCGAGTGAAGTGGATTCAAAAGTGCGACTCGGGTTTTGTCACGTTTAGATTTGAAGGCTCGCTAAATTTGCAGGCCAATCCGGGGGTTTTTTGCTACCCGCGAGCCTACTTAGTTAGGCACACCGATGCCAAGCCTTGATGACTCCGCGACATCCAGTATCCTTCCCTCGTTCCACCGAAATCTACCGGAATCCGAGAAATCTCACCGACTCCTTTCTGGCCTGTACCCTCGCTACTCCCAAGCCCACCTCGTTCTTTGAGCCCTCCCCCTCTGCCAACCACAGGCGCCCACCATGTCAGATGCTAAAGAGCTCACGTACGCGGACGTACAGTCTCACAGCGGGAAGAAGGTTCGTGGCCCACCCTTACTGAGACCAAGGATCGGGGTTGATGGGATCTGATCGGTGGATAGGATCTCTACGTTGTCGTGCACGATAAGGTCTACGATGCCACGAAATTCGTGGATGAGCACCCGTATGTGTTACTCCTCTCATTCACCGCGATATGGCTCCCTCTCCTCCCTGTCAGCGGCCCTTGAAGCCATGACCCCACTACGCCGCTACTTTGTCCAACTGAGGATGAAGGGGGCCTCGGGCCTGCATCTCATTTTGCTGTGTTTGTTGATGAGGAGGTTGGCTGACGAACTGTGACAGCGGAGGAGAGGAAGTGCTTCTTGACGTGGGTGGCCAGGACGCAACGGAAGCCTTTGAGGATGTGGGACACAGTGATGAGGCGAGGGAGATATTGGATGGGCTGCTTGTGGGAGATTTGAAGAGAATGGTACGTTACTCCCAAGCTCAGGGGTCGGACTCCCGCGCTGTCCTTGGGCTCTCCACTTTCAACAACCTTTCAGGGTTTGGCCCAGCCATTGCTTCATCAACCTACCATGTTCAACAATGCATTCGCTGATGCAGTTCGCTTTTGCAGCCGGGCGACCCAGCCCCCTCCGGCGCTGCTGCCCCAGCAGCATCAACAACCACAGCAAGCAAGTCAGAAAGTGCAGGCATGGGCGTCGGTCTCTACGCGCTTGTGCTGGTGGGAGGTATCGCTGCATTTGGAGCATACAAGTACCTTCAGATGAACTCGGAATCGAGTAAGTAATTCAGGCTGGGGATTGCTTTCAAACAAAGGAACCGTGTCTATAGATTCTCTTGAGAAGGGAAGGCGCAGAGCGAGGAGGGAGAAGGTTAGACAGATGTTCATTCTATTTTGTAACGATGCTGCTATGGTTAGAAGCATTGGTGGAGACTTTCAACAAAAGACTTCTGCGCAGTGTTATATAGTTCCATGCTTCATGCACCATTGAATGCCATTTTACATTGTGGTGCTCCTTAACTGGCCACCGCTGCCTCGTTATCGCAGGCTGAACCAGCAGAGAAGTGCGCTTGGGATCCCCCGTCGAGGCTGCGTCCTAAGTTTGAGATGGCCTTTGCGAGGCGCTTTGGTTGTTCAGGATGTCTCTTCGCAACCTTTACCTACTTGTTTGGGGTACTGCAAATGGAATGTGAGAGAATGTTTTCGCAATACGAGGGCAACGGCCGGCACTGAGCTGTGGCATGTGAGGGAAGGTGATCAGATGTGTGCGGTCAATCATGAAGCGGTGCAAGTCTCTTCTCTGGTGAATAAAGTACCTTACCTTACCGGCAACTCTAGCGCCATCCAAGTCCCGGATCCCGGAAGATCGCCCGAGAGTGTGGGGTTCATTTTCCCCGCAAATACAGTAGAGATGGCATTCTGACTTCATGCTCTTTTCCTCGTACATTTGTTATGGTTGGAATCATTCTGGGATATATGAGAAGATTCTGAGAGGAATTAATCCAGTGTTTTTTCTGCTCTGTCCTTAATTTTGTCTGCGCAATGGGTCTAAACATACGCCAGGCGCCCACTGCCGCTAACCGCGCTCTCAATCTCCTTCGAACAGTTCAATATACCCATCCCCCCAACTGTCCGTGTCATGCAAGCCCAGGCCATTATCAACCTACACCTTCAATACTCAACCATGCAAAGCGATCACTTGCTACACCTGTCGACTCGTCAAGGAAGAGAGAATATGCATTCGAAATGGCAGCCTCGAGCATCCGGTTTGGACCCGGATGCACGAAGGAAGTGGGCATGGACTTCAAGAACATGGGGTCTAAGAGAGTATGCGTAGTGACAGACAAGACCGTTGGGAAGCTGGATGCTATGCATCAGGTTGTGGAGGGGTTGACAAGGGAGGGGGTGGAGTTCACAATATATGATGGAACGAGGGTAGAGCCCAAAGACAGCTCGTGAGTGGGGAATCATTGATCACTTCGATTGAGTTCCTGTTGCTCAATGGAACACAGTATCAAGGATGCGATCAACTTCTCTAAGAACTATGGGCCGGACGCTTTCCTCGCAGTCGGAGGAGGCAGTGTCATAGATACAGCGAAACTCATGAATCTTTATACGAACTTCCCCAATGCTGATTTTCTCGACTTCGTCAATGCTCCGCTGGGTAAGGGTCTGCCAATCACAAAGGCGCTTTACCCACTGATTGCTGTTCCCACCACCGCCGGCACTGGATCAGAGACTACAGGAACCGCCATATTCGACCTTGTCGCCAAGAAAGCAAAAACGGGAATCGCGCACCGCGCTCTAAAGCCCACACTGGGCATATGTGATCCCCTAAACACACGTACCATGCCCTCTGCAGTCCATGCATCAACAGGCCTCGACGTGCTTTGCCACAGCCTCGAGTCATGGACCGCCATCCCATATCAAACTCGAACGCCGCGGCCAGAGAATCCAATAAACCGGCCTGCATACCAAGGGGCCAACCCCATCTCTGACATATTCTCCCTTCAAGCTCTCAGAGCAACCGTCAAGTATCTTCCTCGCGCGGCCAAAGACCCTGAAGATCATGAAGCCCAATCAGAGATGCTTCTCGCCGCTACCTTGGCCGGCGTAGGTTTCGGGAATGCAGGTGTTCATCTGTGCCATGGCATGAGCTACCCCATCAGCGGGCAGAATCCGGGTTACAAGCATGCGGGCTACGTGACCGATAAGCCCATCATTCCCCATGGCGTCAGCGTGGCCGTTACAGCACCTGCAGTCTTCAGGTTCACAGCCGCCTCAAATCCGGAAAGGCATCTTGCAGCTGCCGAAATCTTTGGGGTGGACACTAGTTCCGTGAAGAGGGAAAGCGCGGGAGAAGTACTTGCGGAGGCGCTATCGAATTTTCTGGTGGAGTTGGGTGATCAGCCCAGAGGGTTGAAGGCATTGGGGTTTGGAGGTGGTGATATAGATGGATTGGTTGAAGGAACGCTACCGCAGAAGAGGGTGCTGATGTTGGCACCGGGCTTGAGTGAAGAGGTGAATGAAGAGAAAGAGCAGTTGAGAGGTCTTTTCGAGGATGCTTTAACATATTAAGATGGATTGAGGGGATCCTTGTACAAACGATGCTGTATATATGTTACGAAATCTATAACCATAGTTGCACGAAATCTAAAACACTCACCATGCCGTTTTACCACAAGTAGAGTTCTAATGATCTTGACCATTAGACTGCAACCTCCCAAACGTGTCTCGCTTGACAAATGCCAGCAAAAGTCCGAACCCTCCGCCTCCTTTGGCCGCCATTTGACATCCTTACTTTACGTCAACGCGGTGGTCGCAAAGAGTCAACACTAATACCCTCATTGAATCCGATACCACCGTATCAAAGACGGAGACGTCGAGGTGGGGTACTGCAGAGAATGTAGTATAAAGTAGCCTTTAAAGGCGCGGTGCTGGAAAGTAGGTGACCAAAAAGTTTCGAACTTTTCTCATTTGACCTGCGAGGCAGAGATACGTAGTAGTAGAAGTCCTACAGTTCGGACGCGGTGACAGAAAAGAACAATAAGTTAAGTTTTTTTTTTTTTTTTTTTTTTTTTTTTGGTAAATTATTTTCTCAGTCTTGTCTACGGCCACATTTCGGTGGTAAATCTTTGTTTCAGCATTTGTCTCAACGGTCTTCCTTTCCATAACCTCTACAACGTGGTCCAGCATTCATTTCAAGACTACGTCGCCTTCATTCGCCGTTGCCAAGCCTCGAAATGACCCATGACTTCCAATGAGCTGGCTCATGCGAGGAGAGCAGTAGCTAGGAAATTGTCAATTAATCATAAGTCTATTAACCAAGCCACGTTGTTGATGTTAAGCTATTCGTGAAAGGCATTAGCAGCAACGCCGCGACTTTTTTCGGGTTAGAACCCTGAACACTTCTCCAAGATCCCAAGTAATTCCTTCTTCCTCCCCACAAAGGGTGAATGCCCTCCACCTATCTTCTCGACCTTCCAACCTTGCCTCTTCACCTTTGCCACCATTCCCTCTAGCATAACGAGCATAGGGTTCGTCGGTGCAAAGCAGATACGTAATAGGTACATCAAGGTCATAACACACGTCAGCCACATCAACAGACGTCTTGCTGGCTGACTTTGGGACCAGCAGAGAATTCCAGTGCTCCGCTTCCATGGGAGGAAGATCGTTGTAGAAGACGGACAACGTGTTGACAGGGTAAAGAAGACCGTCCTGTTCGAAATGTTATGTTACAACCCGTCGCAGACACGAAGAATGTTGGATTGGATTGAACCAGTATGGAATTCCTCACCTTGAAAACGGCCCAGGATGGTGCCTTGCCACCCTCCAGAGCGGCTGCCATTCCATGGCCCTGTTCGACCAGTAGAGCAGCGATGAACAATACGTGAACTATACCGCCAGGTTTCCCTTCCAACTTGCGCTTGCTTCTCTCTAGTCCGCTGACAGTCTGGCATCCTGGCACTCCGCCGTATGAATGGAGCGCCAACGTTACCTCTTTGCCATCTCCTTCGACTAGTTTCTCAAGCACGGATCGAATTGCATACACATCATCCCGATATGAAGCTGTTCTTGCTCGAGCAGTCGTAGGAAGTTGTTCGTAGGGAAAGACTCTTGATTTAGAAGGGTGCTGATTGGTTCGAAATGGGCTGAGGTATGGAAGGCGCCGGGGACGAAGACGATCGTTGGTCTGGGATGGGATGCTTTCGATGCGTCCATTGTATCAGCTTACAAGTAGACTGTCAAGCTGAAGTCAAGCAGTTCTTCCCGCCCCCTACTCTTAGATCTCATTGACATATTTTCGAATCCTGCTGCGCTTTGTCTCATTTTCAGGGTTGACTAAGGTTTGCATAGATGTACAATGATGCTGTTAGACCTCTGTCAGCTCGGGGAATGGCCGAAGGATCTCCGATTCTAGAATCGTCGCCCCAAGTGAGCGATCCTAGTGCTCTAATCGTCAAGCTAGGGAAACTACCGATGATCATCAATCACTCACCGTCTGCTTGGGCAGGACTGGCGAGCTGACGTGCCCACTTAGCGTGGCGAGCCCTTGTATGGTTGGATCGAAAACTCCCGTGTTCACCTTCCCTGAATTCGTGTGAAGGTACCCTCCGCGGGAAAGGAAACAATTCTCCGAACATGCGAAGGCGGTGCCTCATGTTCTGCCACTGACATTATGCTTGCAATCACATCGGACTCCTACATCTCGCGGAGGGCAACTTGGTTGTGCATATTCTCAGGCCTCGTTCCGGAGGAAGTTTGACAATCTTTCTCATGACATACACCAGTTGCTTGCTCTCCGGATATTGGCCTCCTATTCCCGAGCCACGGTTTAGAGTAGTAGTAGTAGTAGTAGTAGTAGTAGTTATCCATGGATGAGGCCCGAAGGTAGGGATGCGGATTTGTCTCAGTATTCAGACTCGCATTAGTGGGGTATCCTATGGCCAGCCCTACACTTCCACTTTATTGATTTCGAAGTAGTCGTTTACGGCGACGACGTGATACTTGGGGTTCGTTATAAATAACTCAGAGGTAGTATAATAATAGTAGACGAAGGGCCTATATCGCAAATATCCATTGCTAAGCCTATCGAAATGTGAATTATGTGACCCCCACATATCCCAGCCACCATGTTTTTAGCCTCCGCGCATCCCAGTCATCATATTTTCCAGCCACCTACTCTAATTTTACACTGTATTTAGGACCTAGCCCCGGAGAGGTTCTGGAGAATCAATCTGTCCGTTCTACACATAACACAACACACATTACATATCCGTATACCAAGGCCTATGCCAAGCCGCGTGGCTGCGGGTATAGCCGGTAGGCTGCATTAGGATGGACGGGGGACTGTCGGAGGGGGACTGTCCGGAGTCAAGTTGACTGATGAGTCTGAGAGCTTTAATCAATTTGCGACTCTTTGGGAAAGTGACCGACGATTGATGTGATTGATTTCGCGTCCTCCTTACCTGCTGCCTGTTACCAGTGGACGATCCGCCAATGGCATTCAGTGCGGGTCATGATATGTCTCAGTTGCCTGCGAAAGCCCGGAGATGAAGAGAGCCATAAAAGGCTCCCCTTCTCTTTTCCCCTTTCTCTCTTCTTCCTTTCCTTCTTTTCCAGAGTCAAGCAAAAATCAAAGAGTCTACTCCAAAATATTGGTGGTACTACGAAAATACGTTCCTCCAGCCGGCCATCCGCAAATCAAGCCAAGCAATGAACCCCTCAAACCCGCAGCAGGAGGGAGCAATTTCGCTCGCCCAGCTCCAGGCAAACCCCAAGCTACACAGCGAAGCAGACGAGCAGACCCAGATCCGCATGGAAAAATGCATCGTCGAAGAGCTGCTTCAGACCTACTACTCCGGCCCTCGCTACCGTACCGTCCTCGACGACGAACCCCCAACTATCGGCTACCAGGGCATCAGCCCCGTCGGGCACATCACCACTGTCGACACCCTATCTGCCGCAAACGTTGCTCTGTACCGAGTCGAGATAACTGATGTGCCGGCTGCTGTCGGCTCTGGTAGAGCGCCGGGAACCATACTTTCCCTCTTTCTCTACGTGCACGCTGGGGATCCGTATACCGCAAATACACTGGTACAGTACTTGAAGCTTCTCATGAAGAAGATGGACGAGGACGGTCATTTCTTGAAGCCGGGTGCGGCCTGGGCGATGTTATCATGGGGTCTCAAGCTCATGTTCTTTGAGTATGGGGGAGGAACTCTCAAGAGTGTTGGGCTTGGAGACCTTCCGAGGAAGGCTACTGGGTCGACCTCGCCAGTGAATGCGGATGTGGACTGAGGGAGCAGGGAAGTCGTAGTCTTCAAGTATTGGTATCTTGGTCACAAAGACTTGCCGGCCTTCACGACTTCTACTCGCACTTTTCCGTACCATGTCGACTTCAGCAAGACGACGGTCATCACTAGCATAACAATCCATCCCTCCCCACCGAACCCCATTAGCTCGTCATGCCTTGACCAAAGGGACACCTCGATCAAGTCGACGAGTGGACATGTTCCGCCCCAAAGCCCGCTCAAACCCCACCCAATCCTGCATCCCCCAAATCCCCCCTCCCATACTGAAAGAACGACACCTCCATCCCCGCCTGCGCAATCCCAAACACCTTCCCACCCCTCACCCTGCCCCCCATTTCCGCCTCCTTGATCTCCTCCCCAATCACCTGCCTCAGCCTCAGCATATACATACTCAGCCCGTCCTCCGTCTCCCCGCCCGCATGCGCGTAGGCATACACGACCGACAGCCCATCATCCTCCTTCAGGACATGCCAGAGGGCGGTGTGCTCCCTGGGCGCCGTGTCCGCCGGCGTCGCGGGAAGAGGGCCCTTGCGGACGACCCTGCCCAGGGGGCCCGGGAAGTACCTCTGCAACATCTCCTCCGCGACGGCCTTTTCGATGGCGACTTTCGCTTCCGTGTCGGCTTCTTTGTGGAACGTGGGGTCCGACATCACCCTCGCGAGTATGGGTCCGGATCCGAGGTGCGCGGGTCCGGACGCCATGCCGCGAAAGGAGGAGAGCTTGGGGCGGAGGAGCGAGGTCACGGGCTTCGGAATGGGAAGTCGCGGGTGAAGGGGCGCGACGTCGCTGTTGGAGCGGGCGGGGGTGGGTTTCGTGGAAGTGGACATGTGGTGGGCGGGGCGAGCGATGGGTTTGACGGCTTTGCTCGTTGTGGGGCGAGAGAGCTTCGAGAAGGAGCGGAGCTGGTTTGTGGACATTGTTGGTGGATTGAACGATCGAAAAGTGAAATTGAAATGGGAAGCAGAGACTGTTATGGGCGAGAGGAGAGATGAGGTCGCGCTCTGGCGCGTGTGCATCTTTGAGACAAGTGGGATATGCGAGTCACCTGAAAAGGCAATGGCAGGAAGAGCCGAATTTACAATGTTGATGCGCAAGAATAACTTACAAACACTTGTAAAGTAATATCACAGAGTTCAGAAAGGGCGTGTAGCAATTTGCATTGTCTAATAGTGTGTATTGCGTACATACCTCACATTGTTGTACTAGCAAACTTTTGACGACCGCCAGCATGTACCGAATGACCTACTTGTCTTACATACGTACACTGGGATTGCAAGTCCATCAGTTTCTTCTACTTCCACTCTGAACGACATCAAGTATGATGTCTCTTGCTTGTTCAACCCCCTCTTTGCTGCCCACAATCTCAATGGCAGAGCCTTGGGATTGGTCTCGAGGCACGGTAATCCGGCAACCTGTCTCCTTCCTGATAGCGTTGATCTGGGATCCGCCTTGGCCGATGATGAAGCGGTATGTCTTTGGGTCGGGCAGGACCAGATATCCAATCGATTGGGACTGCTGTGATTTTGCCTGCTCTATCGCCCTCTCCAGCATAACACGTGCTTTGGCGACGCTCTCTGGTGATCCGCGTAGAATCCAGGGAATGTCGCCTTCTTCGGCGCTCTCTCCACCATCGACGACTTCCCATGAGTGATTGTCCATGGAGTCCTGGTTATCAGTGATCAAAGGCAGAGAGGCGCCGCCATTGACGTGGGGTCGTGGTACAGCAGCAGACCTTTTTGGTGGTTGGTGACCTGCATGGTCGACTGTGACCTTTTGATCATTGCGGAGACGCCTGAAGAATTGTCCATTATCCGAAACTGCTTGGTGGTATTTACGAGGCACTTGGAAAGCCTCGCCTTCTTGGTCCTTTATCAAGTCTAGAATATGCGCCTTTGCCTTCTCAACGTCTGCGGGCTGCCCAGAGACTTTGACTTGAGAGCGCGCTGGCCCCTGCTGTGATAGTTTCGGAATGTCTAAGCCGATGTTGAATTGCGACTCCAAAGCTCTTCGAACCTCTCCACCACGGCCTATGAGCATACGATGCTTTTCAGGTGCAACCTCCATCGATTCGGTCGTGGAGTTTTCCCTTTGACCAGCGAAAGTCTCAATAGCAGCAACGATCTTATCCACAAGCGCTTGGCTACCCTCGACACGGATGATGCTATCATCCGAGTCTTGGCCGGGAAAGCGAACAGTTCTGGCGAGATCACGCCGGTCGTCGGAACCACCGGCTTCCACGACTAGGTTACGGATGTTTGCTCCTGGTCAAGTGTCAGCTCACTTATCACTCGAAGTGCTTGAACCACCAAGGACTTACCGCCACTGCCAATGAGGGCTTTATGGTACTTCTTGTCAACATCGAGGTGCCTCGTGATACTGCTGTCAAAGATCTTTGCTCTCTGCTCCAAAAGCTTCTTGGCATCTTCTACCTGCTTCTTAGACCCTTTGAGGTGAATTTGTACACGTCCATTGGGGTCTGCGCCTTCTCTACTCCCAGGTACATCGATCTGCGCACCTGTCAAGAGTCTCACACTTTCCATTTCCCGACCGCCTTGGCCTATGAGAGAAGGCAGTTGGGCCTGCGCAACGGAAACAGTAGATTTATGAGAATTGTCCAGAGTCCACTGCAGAAGGTTTAGAAGCTCATCTCTTGCTTCATCTGCTCCTTTCCGTGGTCCTCGCACAATCACCTCATCGGGAGCTTGATTGGGCCTACGGTTTCTCGTACTTCCAGCCTCACTCGCGTCATCAGCGACAGACCGATCGTCGTCCAAAGCCGGAGTCGATCGAGGGAATTGCACTCGTACGTTGTATTTCCTTTGAAGCTGATTTACTTGACTCCCTTTGGCGCCAATCATGTCTCGATGGTACTCTGGTTTGATTTTGAGGACGTGGGTGGCCTCGTCTTCAAGTTTCTTACCTAATGCAATGATCCTCGACTTGGCGGCATCGGCTTTAGCCTTCGGCCCGGTGATCTCGACTTTGCCCTCTTTTACCTGAATGTCGACATCAAACTCTTCGCGATACTTGTTGATATTATCACCTTTCTTACCAATGAGGTAATTTGCATACTTTTGGGGGAAGTCGAAGCTCGTGACATGACCTCGCTCCGATTCCTCTTGCCTTTCCGTTTCGAGAAAAGCTGCAATCTTCTCTGAGAGTACCTCAACTGTGTTACTCGGTCCTCGTAGATGACACTCATGATCAAGTGCAGCAGCAGCTATGGGGCTTTGCGATGTTGGCATACCACCGTTGGCGGCGTTAGTGGCTCCAAATTTCACTTGCACTGGGATCTCTGTATGCGGAAGGTTCTGCTGTTCCCGATGCACAAACTTTCGGACTTTATCACGATACCTATATCTGGTTAGAAGGGTCCGCTCGAGTATGACCAATGCGCTTACTTTGGCGGGACCTCAACGCTGGCGGCGCCAATGTCCTGCTGTCCTTCTATGAGGCCTAGAATGAAATCTTGAGCTTGTCGAAGATTTGCCTCGAATTCGGTAATCTCGTCATTTGATGGTCTTTGCCTGGGCAATTGATACTCTCCACCATCGCTTGATGAAGGCCCTTCGTATACAAGTATCACCTGAGGCTCTTGATTAATCTCTTCAGGAGGGAGGATATGAACGCCAAAGTCATCGCGGATACGCTTAGCGCCCTGCCGGTGAATATGTTCATGGAAAAAAGGATCGATCTCCACATGTCGCAGCCGAGTCGGCGGGTGTGCACTGATGAGATTTGTAATATCCTGGCGCGCACGAATTCCATTCCTACCATCCTTGTGGTATACTTCCCAGCTGGTCGGACCATTTTCAATGGTAGGCACAATGATGCGAGCATCGAACTGTCTCTCCAGTTGTTCGATTGCCTGACGCTGTTGTAGATACCTCGTTAGTGCTCGAGCGTGAGCCTGAGGGCCCATAGGAGCGTTTGCATGTTGGCGCGCAATGTCGACAAGAGACATTTGCATACTACTAGCCAGGTCTATGACTTTGTTGGTCCCTATTTCCAGTCTATCTTGCGGGCCAATGACGGTCAGTAACTCCGTGTCTTCTGACGCAGGCGGCAGAATGACTGCGCAGCCAGTCTCTGCCAGAATATCGTTCAACGAAGCACCTTTGCCGTCGGAAATGAACTGATGTCGACCGCGCTCGATGGGAATTTGAGAAAGGGTGATCTGACGCCGTAGTTCCTGAACCTGGCGTTCAATTGCAGCTCGCGCTTCCTGTGCAGCCAGTCGATCGCCAGAGATGCGAATGTGGTTATCAGAGCTAGGGAGAAAGACGGGCATGCCAGATGATGGAGCCTGAGGAGGCGGCTGATCTGACCAGGTATGATAATGAGGCACCTGGACTCTGACTTGATGACTATCTTCGAGAGCGTTGACGCCACTGTTGTGAGGACCAGCGATGAACGGATAATATTCGGCAGGAATGTCTCGTAAACGCAGATTGACAGTTGAAGTCCGTTCATTAACGATTGCTTCGATCTCACGCCTAGCCATCTCCGCTGCAACTGCGTCACCCTCGATAGCAACATCAATGGTGAGACTATCATCGTCCTCTAATTCAAAGTTGGGGGTGTCTTCGGCTTTCGGTATCTGAACGCGGGCACCTGTTCGCTTTGAGATGCCCTGGACCACAGCACCTTGACGCCCAATGACATGGGGCCGCACGCTTAACGGAATCGGGATTTTGACGTGTTGCTTAGAGCCAACTTCTTTGGCTAGATCTTTCAAGGCCTGCCTAGCAGCATCGACCGGACCAGTGCCTTCAAAGATAATGTTCCCGTTTGGGCCGGACTTCATCTCTACTTTTGCTTTGGATCCTTTGTTTATACTTCTCAGCACGTCATGCAGAGGCTTCTTTAGCTGATCTCTTGGCAGCAACTGCGATGGTGCGAACTGAATCCTCTCGCTGTGTCTACCCGGCATCGGCATCTGCTGGGGCATTGATAGCCCTCGTGTCTGTGGCGCGCGAGAAGCGTTGGTTGAAGCAGGGTTCATTAAGCCAGATGTAGGGGTTGAGGCGCGAGACGAGCTCAAACTTGAGAGAGGAGCATTTCCGTTAATGCCATTGGCACCAGCATGGACTGAAGAAGGTTTCTTTGCTCCCCATGCCATAACAGCTGGGACGGGCGCTGGAGCTTTCGGCCCGCTCGAAAGAGCTGGAAAAGCTTCTTGGTCCTGGGCGTCGAAAGACGCAATACCGTTGGGTTTTGGATTTGCAGGTATTGGAGTTGGTTCATCCCTTGCTTTTTGTTTCCCAGCCGCTTTTTCTGACATGGGCTGTATCTGTTCGACTGGGTCGTGCGTGGGTTCCGATTCGGAAGCAATGTGCATCGACGGCGGTGGATGTGCGATATCTTCCTCATCAACAACATCTTCGATCATGGGCCGATGAGCAGCATCAGCCTCGTGTTTCTGCTGGAGTCTCTCGGCAGCCGTCAAGCTTTGAGACTCCGTGGAGCTTCCTCCATTCGTTGTGGGGTCCGTAGCCATGTTTGCCAGGTAACTCGCAAGAGCAGATATCTTCGGTTGACAATGATCCAGGTTCAAGCTTCGGTCGAGGTTGGGGAAAATATGGCAGCGAAGAGGCAGACTCGATTCCTGAAGCGGTTCAGCACTTACTATTTCTGGACGTAAGGGAGCATCTCGCTCCGAAGTTACCTTAGAGAAGCATATCCAGAGACGAACGATTCAGGGGTAAGGAATCTTGGTTTGTCAATCCCGAAACTATTGGCGAGACATTGCAACGGGGCCAAGGACTCGAAGTAATCGCACAGAGAAGCTCCCGAAAAAAGCTCTCGAAGACAATAGAGAATGATAATGAGGTTTTAAGGGAAGAAAAGACTCTGAGAGACAAGACTTGTCTTGGAGATGCTCTGTGTGAAGCAGGAAGAGAGGATGGCTTCTTGAGAATATATTGTCTGGTGCAAGGTTGGGTTTTTAGAATTGGACCAGACTTGAATACTTTTCTCCGAGGCTAGAACAGTAGCGTCTATAGCGTCTTGGCAC